CAAATTGGATACTATTAATTTAGGCTTAAATAGAGACTGGGAGTGGCTAAGTCATTATGCAAGGTAGCCTGTTTCCCCTTGTTTTTTCCTACCCCTCCACCCCAGACATTCTGGTTAAAATTGGATTTATGCTGGAAATGGCCCACCTTGATTATCATACACATTGTAAGGAGAGTGGTCAGTTTGGATGAGCTATTACCAGCAGGAGAGTGAGTTTGTGTGTGTGTGGGGGGGGGGGTTGAGAAAACCTGGATTTGTGCTGGAAATGGCCCACCTTGATTATCATACACATTGTAAAGAGAGTGGTCACTTTGGATGGGCTATTACCAGCAGAAGAGTGAGTTTGTGGGGGGAGGGGGGGGGCGGAGGGTGAGAAAACCTGGATTTGTGCTGGAAATGGCCCAACTTGATTATCATACACATTGTAAGGAGAGTGATCACTTTAGATAAGCTATTACCAGCAGGAGAGTGGGGTGGGAGGAGGTATTGTTTCATGGTCTCTGTGTATATAATGTCTTCTGCAGTTTCCACAGTATGCATCCGACGAAGTGAGCTGTAGCTCACGAAAGCTTATGCTCAAATAAATTGGTTAGTCTCTAAGGTGCCACAAGTACTCCTTTTCTTTTTGCGAATACAGACTAACACGGCTGTTACTCTGAAACCTGCTTCTCTTGGAAGGCTGTTCCAGAATTTCACTCCTCTGATGGTTAGAAACCTTAGTCTAATTTTAAGCCTAAACTTGCAGATAGCCAGTTTATTTGCATTTGTTCTTGTGTCCATAGTGGTGCTTAACTTAAATAACTCCTCTCCCTCCCTGGTATTTATTCCTCTGATATATTTATAGAGAGCAATCATATCTCCCCTCAGCCTTCACTTGTTTAGGCTAAACAGGTTCTTTGAGTCTCCTCTCATAAAGTAGATTTTCCATTCCTCGGATCATCCTAGTGTCCCTTCTCTGCACCTCTTCCAGTTTCAGTTAACCTTTCTTAAACATGGGGGACCAAAATTGCACACAGGATTCCAGATGACAGGACCTTTATTCTTTGTACATCAAAAGAAGGGGGCAGAGGTTTGTGGGAAGCCAGAGGGTAGTCTGAAAGGGGGTGTGGTTACTGGGCAGAAGAGAACCTGAGAGTGCAAAGTGGGGATTGCCTTGGGATGGCATTGGTTCCATTCACTCATGTCCCCGTATTAGTCATTAGCTCCCATCACCCCCATTTTGTTCCCCCATTAGTCACTGCTCTCCACAACGACTGCTTCCTTTTAGCTGCCCCAGTACCCTCTGTCCCCACCTTTCCTTCAGGTAGCCTCTCACCTCCCCTTCCCTGTCCCCCGATAGCTCTTGCCACTCAATTCTCCAACTGTTTCTCTGTCCTCCCTATTTTGTACCACTAGTTCCTTGTTTCCCCTCCCGCTTACCCACTGTTGCCCCTCATCTCTCCTGCCAGTGCACTGACACTGTGCTGCTTCTTCTCTGCTGAGTTACACGTAGTACTGGGGGAAAGAGTAGCCGGGTGGGGAGGCAGAGAGGCTGCCTCGCTGTATGTTCAGCAGATGCCACAGGAGCCTCTGGTGGGAGCCATGATAGACAACAGCCCAGAACCACACGATTGCCTAGGCCCACCAGAATGCATAACATCCAGGCTGCTCTTTGGGAATACGTGAAGAGAGACTTGGTGCATTTCCTGGAGCTCGCTATCTCCGTTTGGTCCATTCCTCAGTCTCTCTTCTCTCATCATTGTTTGGGATTAGAAGGATTAGGAAAGGCTCGTCCTCCTGTCTTTTGCTTGCTCACAGCCTTCTCTGAAGCAGAGGAGGAAGAAGTATTGCTGCTGGGGTTTGTACAGTGACGTTTTATCTCTGGCAATATGCAGAGCTGCTGGGGATTTAACGGAATGGGGCCTAGCTGGTAGGGTCTCTTGTGGGAACTAGGACCATCCTTGGTGGCTGCATGGGAAGCATCTGGCCCCTGCATCTTTTTTTCCTCACTCATTCTTACAATTCAGATGATCAAATGGGCCCCATAAATGAGAGGATAAAGATGTGGGTATGACGGGATCCCTGGGGTACAACCCGGAAGTGTGGGACTGCTGTGCCCCCTTAATTCTCCAGCCTGGGCTGTCTCTCACCATGCTTTGCCAGTGACAAGCAGCAAACCCCTCCAAGCCCTGTTACCACTCAACCACCAGCATGCAGAGGCACACTAAGCTAAGTTGCATGGATGCTCTTCAAGCCACTCATGAACTATACACAGGGAAACACCAGCAAATCTCCCAAGCCCCCTGCCTTGCACCCGGGAGTATACTATCTTACACTGCTCAAGTCCTTCTCTTGAACAATCCAAGCTCGTTAATTAGTTCTCCACTTCTTTAAAAGGAAAGTGGACATGCACTAGCATATGTAATCTGAACAGATTTCACAAGCACTTGGGAGAAACTCACTGGTAAGAATAAAAGGTTAAAGTAAGTTTATTAACTACAGAAAGATTATACATAATTAAAAGTAGTAGGTATAAAGGTCAGGGATAGTTACTTCAGAAAATTAATATTAAACACGCATTCTAAATCCTAAACTTTTAGACTAAGCAAGTTTTGAATCAAACATCTTTTCTCACCCCACTGGATGTTGCAAGTAGGTTACAGTTCTTAATAAACAAGCTGAACTTCCTTCTCAGTCTGGGACCAATCTCGTCAGTTCAAAGTCTTTATCTTCCCAGCATTTTTGTTGCCTTCTCCATAGGTGCAAGAGGAGAAAAGTGGTCTCATGATGCCACTGCCCCTTATTTTATACTCTCAGTCAAGTCCCTGGTGGGCCTTGCTGAGTCACAGAGTTGAGCAGTCCCCATTGTATGGTGCTTGCACAACTATCTCTTACAGAATTGTAAATCTCCTGTTTACAATACCCCTGCTGATCAATGGTCGTCTAGGTGTGCGTCACCACCCTTTTATTCACTGGAGAGCTAGTAGTGGGCATCTCCCAAACTCAAACAGCATATTTCAATAACAATCATAGAGCGAAATCTCATAACATAATACCCAAATGATATACATCTTTTGACAGAACAATGAGTTTCACCAGATCATGACCTTTCATATGATACCTTGCAAGGCATGCCTTGTTTGAAATACCACAACCATGTACCAATGATGAATATGGGAGTTACTGGATGCTACTTTGAGGTAGAGCATGTCACAGTGGGTCTAGCCCACATGATGCAGATGAGTCGACAGTGCTGCATCATGGTTTCAGAAGCCTTTTTGACGAACAATCCCTGCATGAATTTTACAACATGTGATTCCAAATACCCAGTGCAGTAAATTCTCAAAACCTAGATTCCTTATGTTAAATAGATTTTCAATTTTCTATTTTATATTGCTCTGAGGTACACATGTCCAACTCCCATAGATTATGGTAGGATTTGCATGCTTATATGTGAAAAGAGAATATGACCCTTATTTCATAGGCACATTAGATAGGTTTTGAACTACAATGTCTATACTGTTTATATTTTGTGGTGGGGCTAGGAAACGGCAAAATAGACTGTATAATTTCATTTTGAAAAGCAAAGCTTCCTATACTTCTGAGAGTTGCAGAGAATATGAAAAAATCACCATAGTTTACAATCTTATTACTTTTAAATGGATCGTTCTATTTAAACCCATTGCTAAGACTGTATGTTCCATGGTAAAGATCTCCAGACATTTCCTTTTTATAGATAAGTCTCAGTACATAGTTTTGAATAATTATGTAAAACAATTATTTATCAGTTATTTTGGACTTAGTGGGCCAAAATCATCCCTGTCATAACTCCTTTGAAAGCTAAATAGTATTAGCCGAGAGAAATTTGTCATGTTATATCTAAATTGACAGTAAACAACTGACAGTTCATATGTGTTCACCTGGATCCTCCCTTTATATTTTTATATGGTGCCTTGCCTTTCTGGATGCTATAACTCTCTGGGAACCTACAGATGCAAGTGCATGATGGAAATTTTCAAATAAAAATGTAGTAGCTTTTTTATGATTACAAATAGAACTGTACCTAGAGTTATAACCCTAACACGCACAGTGTTCTCCAACGAAGTCGCTTCCACGCTAGGAAGGTTTCAGTAGTGCTTGCGAACTGTTTGACTTTATAGTAAATGGGCAGTAGAACTTCCTCAGCGTAATCTTTCCACGTGTATACTCCTGATGCTACTATTAATGATCCTAAATAAATCTGCTTACAGTGTGTCCTACTGAGATGGGAAACAAGTTCACATTCTACATTGTATCTACAGCAATCGTCATCCACATCATTCTGCATATATGGGAAAGTGGCAGTTAATGTAGAGTAAAAAGTTAGGCACAATACTGGTTAAAAACAATAGTGGGAAGTGAAGACATGCAATCTTGATACTTAAGATAAAAATCACCTTGTCACCTAAGAAGCTTAAAGAAATTGTTTAGCAGTTCACATGCAAAACCATGACACCAGCAATGTTGCAAGTGCCAGCATATCTGTTATTCAGTGCTAGTATTCTTGCTCAAATTTTCCTACAACTTAGATACTTGAGTGTCTACTTTGTTTACATAAATCTCTTACTCCGTCTAATGTGTAAATATGAATCCCTGGCTAGTGTTTGGAGTTTCATAAAAGTGTAAGACTACTAAACTTACATAATTTAGATCTGAAGAAAGAGTTTAATTATTTGTATTTCTTGGCTGAATTACACAAAAATCCCAGATAAGTTATATGTCAGATCAGATCAACCTGTAATTTATAGTATTGCAACTCTGTATGTGAAGAAGAGAACATGCTTATATAGCCAAAAATTGATTTTTTGAAATTAAAACAATTACTGGCCCTGATTCTCATGGCATAAACCTGTACTATAGAAGGGAAAAGTAACTATGAATAAATACATCTCTGCTAATTTATTCTGACATGAATATACACATTTTAGATTGTTCTTCAGCATTACATTTTTGTATTTTTATGGTATTGTTTTTCTTTGCAGACGGTTGGAGCAAAATTCAATCAAGGTCATCCCTCCTGGAGCTTTCTCACCATATAAAAAGCTTCGAAGAATGTGAGTGAGAAATATTTTAGAATTATATAAAAACATTTTCATAAAAAAGGTCATGGTCATACAAAGAAATTCCCATCAAAGTATGAGTATTTAAGAGTGTTTGACAGCCAGAGGATTAACTAATATGGCTGTCTGATTGCTTAGATCGTATAGTGCCTTTGTCATGTTAATAACCATCACTGGTAACTCAATGTAATGATACTAAGTAATATGAATGTATATAGAGAGAAATAGTGTGTCACTATAATGAAAATAATTGCTTAACAGATTTTTTTGGAACATATTTTGAAATGATATACCATTGTCATTTCATAATTCCATTGATGCTGTAAGGTCCTGTTGCCATATCAACCTAACTCAAAGAATGCTTCATAAAATATATTTAACTCTTTTATTATTATGAAAAATAAATCTAATAATCATTTTGTACGACTATTTATTTTATATAACCATGTGATGTTTCAGTGTAGTATGGTGATGTTAGTGCTTTGATGTTTTAATTTTTCAACTTTGTCTCACGAGGCCAAAATAAATATTTAGGTTTAGCCTTTTCTCCAATGACCGAAGCTAATTACATAATATTTTAATAGTTATTTTCTGTGGAATGGGTTAGAATTCATTTAATATACCCTTGTTTCTTATTTTAGTGACCTGAGTAATAACCAGATCTCCGAGACCGCTCCAGATGCTTTCCAAGGCCTGCGTTCACTCAATTCACTGTAAGTATCAATTTGATTTTCTCAAAAGAAAGGCAAAATTTCTAACACTTGTGGTATTCAGTTTTTTAAAATGTTTGTCTTAGTGCAAAATTCTCATTTAATCTTCATTTTTCTTGCCTTTGAAAGCTGTAAGATAACGTCAGAGATGTCAGAACTATAACCTGACATCATATTGTGGCTGAACACTAAAATTTCTTAGATTCAGGTCTTGAGAAGGATCCATGTGCTACTAATGTAAAAAGGTCCCAGCTGGATCCTTTGATAACTTGGAGCAGTAAGCCAGTCAGGGTATGGAAAATGCACTTCTTCTCATGCCATATTCACTCATGTTAAATTGAAAGATATTGCCTGGAGTAAACTCATGATGATTTAAAATTTGTTCCAAGTTGAAAATTGAGGGGTTTGTCCACTATTTATCATGATGGTTAGCAGAAATTATGACAATTCACACTGATCAGTTTTGTGAATAAGCTTACAAAATGAATACTGATAGCCTCAAGCTACTTTACTCGCCATCAGTTAGAGAACAGAACCTTTTGTTTTTTCAACTTCTGTCATTTAATCCTTAATTATAATTAAGTACTGTTTTACTGCTCCTACTTGACCTTGTTTTCACAGAATTGGCTACTTCAGAAATACTTTGAAGTGGAATGGAAGTTCATACAGTTTCTTTAAAGTTACTTCCTTTATTGCAGACAGGGCTTCCACTACTTTGGCTGTTCTAAAGGATTCTAAATATAGTGATTTTTTGTTTGTTTGTTTGTTTGTTCCTCTAAGGAGCATCCGTTTTATTTTCAACACATCCCATTCTAGCTGCTTTTTCACATTAAAAGATTGGCTCCTCTTAAAGCTGTATAGGAAGATGCTATGCAAGCTGCTTCTCAAATTACTTCAGCAGAAATTGTCTAAGTACCTGGAACCAGCTGGTTTCAGAGTAACAGCCGTGTTAGTCTGTATTCGCAAAAAGAAAAGGAGTACTTGTGGCACCTTAGAGACTAACCAATTTATTGGAGCATAAGCTTTCGTGAGCTACAGCTTACTTCATTGGATGCATACTGCGGAAGTGAAGAAACAGATTGATAGAGCCAGAAGAGTTCCCAGAAGTCACCCACTACAGGACAGGCCTAACAAAGCTGTTCTGTTATAAGAAAAAAAATCATAATTGTAATTAATTTTTTCTAACTAAAACCAAAAATTAGGAAATTATGGATTTTAAATACTAGATCTTTCCACATAAGCATTTACCTAATGAAGAGAGATTGCCCTCTGTGAAATAATCTCTCCTTAAATAATACTTTTGAAGATCTGACAGGACAAATGATTATAGCATTCTGTGGTTTAGTTAAGAAAAATATTGCATAAGTGCTACCTACAGGAAATCTTGACTTAAGGAGCTAAATGTAACTTGCTCTGGTTTTCCATGTATCATAGAATCATAGAATATCAGGGTTGGAAGGGACCTCAGGAGGTCATCTAGTCCAACCCCCTGCTCAAAGCAGGACCGATCCCCAATTAAATCATCCCAGCCAGGGCTTTGTCAAGCCTGACCTTAAAAAATGTATGGGCTGGTCTCTTTGTAAAAGGCACTGGTCTGGGAATTGAAGACTCGGGTTCTGCTCCCCCTGCCATCAACGTGGTGTGTGATCTTCAGCTAATAATTTTGTTTTTCTGTGCTTGACTTTCCTCATCTGTAAAATAGAATGTCATATGCACCCTCTTAGTAAAATGCAAAGAGACCTTTGGATTAAAAAGTGCTAGAAAAAGAGCTAAATCTTATTGTACTGTGTGCATATACCATAATGCACATTTTATTAGTCTGTGTTGTTTTCTTAAGGTTGCAAAGCCAAAAACTCAAAAGCTAGGAAGTACCACATATACTCATTCATAAGCCGAATTTTTTTAGTAAAAAAGGGAAGCATCAGAGAAGGGGGTCGCTTTATGAACGGGTATAGAGCGGGAGAGGTGGGACACAGCCCCTCCCCCCCCAACAGAGGGGGCAAGAAGAGGCAGCACAGCCAGAAGGGAATAAGCGGGGCCAGAGTCTCTCTGCTTCTGACCACGCTGCTCTCCCCCGAGCCTCTGAAGCAGCTGCAGGTCTGGGGCTGGCAGGCTGCAGCCGCGCCCCCCATAGCAGGCTGTGGCCATGCTGCCTGGCCCGCCGGAGCACGCTGTGGCCATGCCACCTGGCCCAGCCCACTGGAACATGCTGCGGCTGCACCGCCCGGTCTGGCCCGCCGGAGCAGGCTGCAGCCGTGCTGCCCAGCCTGCCGGAGCAGATCCAGCCAGGCCAGAGACATCCTCCCCTGGCCCTCCTCAGGTAAGGTGGGAAGGGATGGGATGGGGAGAGTGTGGGGTTCCCAGGCTAGGGGTGGGGTCATGTGGGGAGTGGTCACGGGGTTACTGCCTTGACCCCCAGCTTCTCCCACCCAAAAAAAATTTTCCCACCAGTTGCTGTTCCGGCCCATCAGAGTAAGCAGCTGGCGCGCCGGGCCACTTTGTTTCCTTAGGTTTACCTCTGTGCCTGCGGACGCTCAAGATAAACAAACCATCTCTACCCACCAGCGGCTTATCCTGATGGCCTGGGAGCCAAAGTTTGCTGACCCCTGAATTATAGGGTCGGCTTATGAATGGGTCATACATATTTTCCATTTTTATTTATCCATCTTGGAGGGGTCGGCTTATAAACAAACCGGCTTATGATCGAGTATATACAGTATTATTGCTGCATTTTTTTTTTAATTTTACAAACCTACTTTAACATGCACATCAGTTGTTGCCTCCAGGGTCTTCACAAGGTGCCATTGTTGGTCTCAGAGCTGCAGTTCGGGAACCTTTAGTATAATATATAATTTTTTTACTGGCGTTTTAACTAGTTTTCTTAGTCAAATGAACATTCTGACTTATATCATGTGTCACAGTAAAGAAGGTGATATATTTCATTAGGAGATATGACAGATCAGTGTGTTGGGGATTAGCAAGTAAACTCTTCCACTTCTGAAAGAGTAGGATAGGGTTTTATTTTAGTGTCTGCTGTAGACTCAACAATGAGAAACAAATTCAGACAAATCTTTAGTATCAGGGTGTCTCTGTCAGTGATACTGGCTGCTATCTGGAGCTATGTGGTACATTTTAAAAAATTGCTGAGAAGAAAGTCGTCTTGTCAGTACTTATACTTTATTATCCACTGACCAGTTCATCAGTAGACTAAGTTTCCTATCAACTTGCTAAAGTAAAGTAGATACTTGGGCCCTGATCCTGCAATGGTCTTTGTAGGAGCAGATTTCTGCACCCATACAGGGGAGCTTGCCGAGGTCTTAGTTTTAAGTCCCAAATGTCTTGGTTACTGCTGTTTAGAATCATTTCAGGGAAGATGGAAGAAGTTTCTTTCTGTCTTCCAAGTCAGATCCAGAAAACCTGTATCTTAATAGTAGCCACCTTGATTGGTTTTTTTCTGTTACAGTGTCCTCTATGGAAATAAAATTACAGAACTTCCTAAAGGCCTGTTTGAAGGACTCTTCTCTTTACAATTGCTGTGAGTATTTGTTTAATGCTTATCTCATTTTGAGTTAACTGGTGGGAGAGGGGATGGTTCTTGAAATTTTGATATGTACCCAGAAAAGAAGGGATAGGAAATTATCCCTATATGCAATATCAGATGCGCGGTGAAATCATGAATTTTAGTAGATGAAACTAGAGGTCTCAAGGCTTCTAGATTCTATCCCTGGCTCTGACTTTTGTTTGTAAGGTGTTCCTTTGATCAAGTCATATACACTCTGTATCCCAGTTTACCCACCATTAAAATGAATATAAATGTTAACCTGTCTTGTGAAAATTAGATAACTGTGCAAGGTGCTTTGAGATCCTTGAGCAGAAGGTGTTGTATACAGTGAGTACCAGTAGAGAGTCTACATTTGTCACAGTAGAAATATTTGATTTAACAGTGAGTATCAAGAGGAGCATCATGGTGATATGTTTTTCAACCTTTCTCAAAAGATTCAGCAGGATTGACAGTGCAGTTGTAGTACCGTCTAAAAATGGATTGTGTGCACTAAGCCATAAATCAGCAGTGATGTTCTGCAGTGGAGAATCTGGGAATCGCTGGCTTGTAGCTGTAAAGTTGGAAGATCTTAGAAAATAACATCTATCCACTTAATTAGAAGCATTTCTTGCCCAGACTTTATAGAGATGTGATATGGCAAAATTTCTCCTTCACTTGTGGAAGAAAGTGGCAAACTAGGAAGTCAGTGATGTGAAAATATAAATCATAGCACCATCTGGGGTTGATGTTTCATCTTTAGATCCTGATACAGTACTCAGGAAAGCATTTACCTTTGTTTCCTTCTCAGAGGAGTTTGTTACCAAGAATTATATTTATTCACTGAAAGATCAAAGATAAATCTTTGTTTCTATTCATGCTGTATTGAAAGCTCCACTATACTCTGATAAAATAAGGAAAGGAGCTACGAAATTTATTTGAAGTGCATGTCCTCCCTTGACCACACTTCTGTTCAAATACAAATCCACCTTTACATTGCAGTAAAACACAGTTTTTCAAAGCATAGAACACACTAACTTCACTATTCACCCTGATAAATGAAAAAAGGAAGAATAAGAAAGGGATTTGATTTGAAAAATCCAACAAGTTTCATGGTATACTTAAAAATTTTTGTTGTTTAAAAGAGGTAATAGATTTCTGTAAAAACATTCTTCCTTTTTATATTTGTAATATGGGAGGGACAGGGCAAAAGGGATGGAGATGGAGAAGAAAATCAAATCCAGGATAGCTCTGGACTATCTTATTCTGTGCCATCAGTTTTTTACTACAACTTCTGGAAATGTGGCAGTATGCTGATTAGTAAGATATAATTAAGCATGCCACTGTACATCTCTTCCAGCTAATGAACACAGTGTTCAGTCCTTCTTTTGGGAAAAAGGCAAAGTTTTCCTTGCCCAGACTTGATTTCTCAAGCTCATTTCCTTGCTCAGATAAACACCACCTATATACATTCCATGAACATACACAACACTGCGATTTTACTAAAGAAGTTAGTGCATTTCAACTCCTATGTGTAAATGGTACAGAATAATTATAGAACACCTAAATAAGTTTTTAATTCAGTAAAAAAAAATTGTGTGCTTGTTAATTAAGGCTTGTATAATATCAAACAAAATAGTCTTGTTCCAGTTACAAATGGGTACAAAGAATTATTGGTGATACCACAGTGAAGCTTGAGTGACAGTAAACTAATTCTATTTTATAATTGTCTTTCATATAACAGATTATTAAATGCCAACAAGATAAATTGTCTACGAGTAGATGCTTTCCAAGATCTACACAACCTGAACCTTCTCTCTTTGTATGATAACAAGCTTCAAACCATTGCTAAAGGCACCTTTTCACCCCTACGTGCAATTCAGACTTTGTATGTATACTTTTACTTGTGTTGTATGTAATGCAACTTTCTATTTATGTTTGTCTTCTGTAACATAAGAGCATTTCAGGAATAGTTGAGACTAATTGCAAATAATGTGTAAAAAAAAAAAAAATTTTTTTTTCCCTTCATGAAAGGCATTTGGCTCAGAACCCATTTATTTGTGACTGCCATCTGAAGTGGCTGGCGGATTATCTTCATACAAACCCTATTGAGACCAGCGGTGCCCGTTGCACCAGCCCCCGCCGTCTGGCAAACAAAAGGATTGGCCAGATCAAAAGCAAGAAATTCCGCTGCTCAGGTAATTTGCTTAGTTCAGCTGCTATTTCTCTTTTCTTGCCAAAAACAGTGGTTACAGAAGTTTTAATAAAAGCAGCTGGTTCTCTACTGAATTATTAAACATTGCAGAACCTTTTTTGTTCTTCTACTGAACAAAGGGGAAAATAATGGGTGGCTCACATTATTTGATCATGGAACATAGTGTAGTTAACACATTTGGCACTAAATCTAACAGAGGAAATGTAATATACAGAATTTCAGAATGAAATGATACGAGTTATTCTCTACAAGGATCACCATCGTAAATCATTTAAACAAAGTTTCACAAGGCTTTGGAATACATGAAAGATCTAAATATTTCAAGCTAAATATGGAAACATGATCTATTCATGTTACACAGGGAGCTTACCTCATACTGAAATTTACTGTTTGCTTTTTCTAATCTTATTCCATTTCCTACTTACATTTTTCTAAGCCCTAACCTCTGTCATATGGCATCCAGCTGTTCCAGGTGCATTTCACATTCTACAGTTTATTCAGCCTTGAGTGCAACTACCAAAGGAAAACTGTTTATTATCCATGTTCCGGATATAGTTATAACTATTCACATGTCATTTATCAGCTTTTGCGGTGAATACACTTTTTTTCACGTAATTATCTGCAGTTAACTGTAGTCCATACTTAATCTAGTAGAACGCATTCTCTGCTTGCTGACATTCAGGTGCATCTTCTATTTTTTCTCTTTGTTTTTATTTAGCTAAAGAACAGTATTTCATTCCAGGTAGGTTTGGCTCTGCAGTAAGACTGACTAACTGCAGACACCCTCTCCTCTCCCCACCCAAAAGCAAAATTTGTCATAGCTTTAGGAAACAGATGCATGTGTTTTAAGTATAGTCATACTCTGTAGATAGATATATTTTCTTGTGTAGATTACTAGTAGTTCTGTTTTCTGAATACAAGGGCTTTGCATGCAGCTCCTGATATCTTTTTTGTCTCACAAATCTGCACATAGCCTATGAAAATGGTACTTTTATTTACATTAGTTAGAAGTTTGCACCTGTTACTATATATTCCAACTGACATCTTTACCTACCTTGTATATCTTACCTACTGTAACACTACTGTTTTTAAAATGTAGCTATTGAGCTGCTTTTAAACACAGAAAATCTTCCTTCTGTCAAAGAGCTAGTACAACTTAAAGCCACTTTAAAAAAAAGGAACCCTTTCTTGCTTTGCTTTTATGCTCTAAACCAGCAGTTCTCTGCTGTGTATTTGCAACTATACTTGCTCACCTGTGACCCTATGATTCCTGTGTTTTATGAAATCACAACAGAATGCCAGGAAAAAAATGGTGATGTTCTTCATTAAAGGCATTTTAAAATCTCTCACACACACTGTGAGTTAGAAATACTTTGTTAAATAGGAAACAAAATTTAAGAGTTGGGGTGAAACAGAAATGTAAACATCACTTTAAAGTACTGTATTTTTCCAAAGGAAAAATGGTATTGCCCTAGCTCTTTGAAATTTGTTTCTTTTCCCTTTGCTGTCAAGCATATGCACTGCTTTCTTTATAGAAAAATACTTATGTTCCTAACAGGTGATAAATAATCAATTGGCCAAGTACACAGGAGTATAACTACAAAAAGCTTCTCACAGTTTAATATCTAGAAAAATATTTACATTAGTTAATTGAATGCACTTGTTCTTTCAAACACTACATGTATATTGTCTTTCTGCAGTGTTTTAAATACTGATTTATTGATTGATCTTACCCTATTACCTTTTAACAGGTGTGTTTAACAGCTTTGCTTTTAGTGCCATGCAATTTTCTTTAAGCTGGAATGATTGTGTGACATTTTTTGTGTCCTTCTACTAATACGTTGGCTTGAGTTTTGCAGGGAAAAAAGAAAACTGGGCAAGGAGGGTAGTTTGCCATCACTGGCAGCAGCAGGAACTTATTATTTTAAAATAGCTTAAAGTGGGAGAGGGAGATCTGATTTCCCCAATCTATCTCGCCTCCTGAATTCCATAATGAGTAGAACACCTGTATTCCTCACACAGAGACACTTCTACTCAATATTGCCAAAATGACACTTGTCTCTAAATTAGAAGCATTTTACTAGCAAATATCTTTAACAGGTAATCTAAACATGGCCACACATAGCTCTGATTTGTTTACCTACAAGAAATAATATACTACTAAAAAATGTAATTGCTAAAACGTGAAACACATCAGGAAGTTCTGAGAATGGTACTTTTTGAAGTGTGGCTTCAGTGTATCCTCTTCCTATTAAGTAAATAATGGACAGAGTACAATGTGTAACATTTCTTCAAACTTTGGAGATCTTGACCTAAATATTTTATGTGATTTAATTTTAACTACTATGCAAATTACAATTTTTCTTGCTCATGAGTAATTGTCAAAGTCCCATTAAAAAAAAAATGGATACACTTTGCCTAGATAAATATCATTTAAAAAAATCAGCATTTTCTATAGCAGGTTGAATGTAGACTTTTTATAGCTGAGAGATCTGGGTCCACAGACCTTAAACTATTTTAATAGTATTCCCACAGAGTCATGTTTGGAGACTAAAGGTTATAACAGTAATAAAGGAGGAACTTGAACAAATTCTGCTTTTGTATTTGTTCATAAAAATATTTCAAGTAGTTATGTCATATACATTACTTGAAGCTAAGTAGATGCTAAAATATTACAGTATGTGAGGCCTCTTTTGTTCTATGGCACTTGTGACTGTTTCCCCAAAGTTTCTTTGATTATTTTTTTATTTTAAGTGGCTTAGCATAAATTTGTATAAAGCAGCATTACTCTATCTTATAATAAAAAAATTTTTAAAATGATAAATTATAACACATGAAAAGTATCATCCTATAAATAGTTCATAATTAATCTCTACCCTTTAGCTTAATTGAAGTTTTGTATGCCACTTAAAATGAATTCTTCTCTCTGTCCTAAAGATGGTGCCTCATTGCAACATCCTGTAATCAGAGAAATAATATTGAGGCAAGAGAATGAGACGGCTTAGTTTCATGTTTTTATTTTAATTGGGATTACTCTGTCTTTCTTTCCTCCTTGGCTATCTTTACTTTTGCAGGAGTTCACCATTTTGGCTGTAAGTAAAGTTCAGTGTCTGAACTAAATCACAGTGTACTTCCCAACCCTGGTGCACCTTCTTCTACTAGTGTCTTTCCACCTTTGTCCAAGAAGAACCCACAGGTCCTTTGAGCTTGTATCTGTTTTCCCTGTCACCCACCCTCAGTTCCTTACTTGATGTTTTCTTCTGATATCGATAGGATGTTGTTTTTGTTCTGTTGATTGTGGGAAATGGTGGAAGAAACTTGCAGTGTGGTCTATTTCTTCTACTTTTTAGTTAAGCTGTGACACTAATACTGTTACAGTGGCAGTGGACATTCTGTAATAGGAATGCCATGTCATGTAAGCAAGTATTAAACTTCAAGAGATTCTGTAGCTTTTCCCTATTCCTTCCTCTTTTTCCCTTGCTTTTGTCCTTGGCCTAGTGGATGCAGTTATGATAATTTAGCGAGATTTTCTGTTGTGCTTGATCTAACCATGTGGTTGCAAGGTATGAGTAAAACATGGTTCTTTCAAGCACCATGGAACGTCACGCAGCTTTCTACAGCATGACAAGCTGCTGAGGCTTAAGTCAGGATTACACACTTTTAAAATTAAAGGAGAAAATAGGGCTTTGAATCTTCTGTATTTGAGATTATGTGGAGGATTGGGGACTGTAAAAGAAATGAATTTAGAAGGTTAATGAAGTCCAGTCAACAACAAAAAGAATAACAAGAGAAAAAAGAAATGGCATAGAAGAATCTATTAAATCTTGACACACAGAGAAAAATAAATTCTGTAATAATCAGTGGCATTTGTGTGATTAGATGTAAACCAGGCAAGATTGGCTGACAGCACAATCAGCAGAAAGTACAGCTGTGAAAAGCATAAGTTTTCAGTGTTCTCCCATCACCACGAACTTGGTCACAAGTTTTCCAGCATATCTCAAGCCCCTGTATTTGAACCTTCTCTTGAAGCCTTAATGTCTGTTTAGTAGCACAAAGTTTATGAAACATTTCTCAAGTTATTCGCCTTTAGTCTGCATTGCAGATCTATCATTTTAATTTTCTCATGAGAAATGAATCTCATACTCTATGGACTTAGTGTCTATATTTTGGCTTGACTCTTCCACAGGCACCGAAGATTACCGATCAAAACTAAGTGGAGACTGCTTTGCAGATCTGGCTTGTCCCGAAAAATGCCGCTGTGAAGGAACCACAGTGGATTGCTCCAATCAGAAGCTCAACAAAATTCCTGACCACGTACCCCAGTACACAGCAGAGTTGTAAGTTCAACCCGCAATAACATGCTGCTCGTCAGTGGGAGTACAGCTAACATTTTGGTTTTAAAAGTCAAAACAGCTTACAAGAAAGAGGGGGAAAGAAAGCTCAAACTACTCCCTTCCCCCTCCCCATTGTTTTGAATACTGACTGATGTTATAACCAAATTTAAAACATTTTTGTTAACACTCAACCCAAAAAGCTAAACTGAATATCTAAACTAACAGATTAATAAGGTAACTGCTGTACCATGCCATGTTTCTACTCCACGATTATCCACTGTTTATTTTATTTTTTTATTGTGTGGGGGGGGCAGGGTTTTATTTTTTATTTATATTAAAGTAGCAACTCGCTGACCCAATCAAGAAGCAGGATCACATTATCCTCGGTGATGTACAGACGTGTAACAAAGACAACAGTCCAAGATTGAGGTGTCAATAGAGGAAGTTTTAGAACAAATTGATAAACAGCAATAAGTCACGAGAACCAGATGGTATTCACCAAGAGTTCTGAACGAACTCTGATATGAAATTGCAGAATTACCAACTAGTATGTAACCTACCACTTAAATCAGCCTCTATGCCAGATGACTGAAAGAAAGCTAATGTAACATCCCTAACGTTAGTATCAGGCAAATTAGTTGAAACTGTAGTAAAGAACAGAATTATCAGATGCATACATGAGTCAACACAGCCTTTGTAAAGGGAAATCATGACTCACTAATCTATTAGAATACTTTGAGGGTGAAAATAAGCATGTGTACAAGTGTGATCCCTTAGATATAGTGTACTTGGACTTTAAGAAAGCTTTTGACAAGGTCACACACAAAAGGCTCTTAAGCAAAGTAAGCTTGGTCAGAGGATGAGAGGGAAGGTCCTCTCATGGATCAGTAACTAGTTATAAGATAGGAAATAAAAGGTAGGAAATGAATGGTCAGTTTTCACAATGGAAAGTGGTAAATAGCGGGGTCCCCCAAGGACCTTTACCGGGACCAGTGCTGTTCAACATGTTCATAAATGATCTGAAAAATGTGGTAAACAGTGAGATGGCAAAGTTTACAGATGATCCAAGATGACACAAATAGTTAAATCCAAAATTGATTTGAAAGAGTTACAAAGGGATCTCACTAAACTGGGTGACTGGCCAACAAAATGGCAGATGAAGTTCAATGTTGTTAAGTTCAAAGTAATGCACATTGGAAATCATAATCGCAACTACACATACAAAATGATGGAGGACAGGATATTGGGCTACATGGACAATTGGTCTGCTCCAGTCTGGCGGTTCTTATGAGTTGATGCCTTGATGTGCTAGTAGACCTGGCAGATAGGGTGGACTAAATGGTGAAGGGGCTTAAAGGCAGAGACAAGGAGCTTGTGTTTAATGCAGTGGAAGAGTGAGAGCTAGTGTAGAGACGCAAGGAGGGGAGATATAATATAGTCAGAGTGACAAGCCAGAAAGGTGGTGCTAGCAGCAGCATTTTGAATGGATTGGAGGAGGTGCAATGTAACTGATGTCAAGATGAGATTATGGTAGTTGAGGCATGAGGTGATGAAGGCCCGAACAAGGGTCCTAGCAGTCTGTACAGACCAATAAGGCTAAATCCTTGAAATGTTAAAACAAGAAGACTTGGATATAGTCTGAATATGTGAGTTAAGAGAAAGGGCTGAATTGAAGAGGATGCCCAAATTGAAGGGCTAAGTGATGTTCATGAGGATAGACAAACTGAGGAGAGGAGGAGGTTTTTGTGGGAAAAGCAAAAGTTCAGTTTTGGCCATGTTAAATTTGCGCTGCTTGATAGATGTCAATGAAGAGGTGTCTGAAAGATAAGCTTTGATGCAAAATTGGGTCAAGGGAGACTGGTTTTTAGTGGAGAAATAAATATGCAAGTTTTTGACATATAGTACGTAAAGCCATGCTTGTGTATAACAGTGCCTAGATATATGATAGAGAGAGAAGAGCCAAGGGCTAAGGACTCAGCCTTGGGAGGTGCTCACTGAAGGAGAAAGAAGGCAAAACCCCACCAAATGATACAGTTCAGGTGGATCAGAAAGATAGGAGGAGAAGCAGGAGTCTTCGATTTCAAGAGGAAGAGAATGATCAGTGGTGTCAAAGTACAGAGAAGTCAAGGAGGATGAGGATAGAGCAGAGGCACTGATCTTTGGCTAAGAAGTCATTCAAAAACTTTTTGGTGAGGTCAGTTTAAGTAGAGAGAGTGGAAACTGATTGATGGGAGACAGAGGGAATTGGAGGAGAGGAATACAAGTTAGTGAACATGTTGTCTACAACCACTGAGTTTGACAAAGAAGAGAAATAGGGCAGTAGCTGAAGAGGCAGGTAGTGGTGGTTGTTTCAGCAGGCAATCTTGTAATCTAATTCTCCCTCCCCCCCCCCCCAAAAAATGATATCAAGTTAGTTTGATAGAAGCTATTTCCAGAACACTACATCCCTCCATAGAGGAGCCAGTTTTGACAATGGGCAAGAAAGTGGACACGGCAGAAAAGATCCAGGCATCTCAGCCTCAAAGGTTCTGTTTTACTGGGAATCCTGTATTTGTCAACAAAGGTTGTATCATGGACCCATCAATGCTCTGTGAGGGGAGCTGCAAAGTGGGTGACATCCAGAACTGAGTGTTTTCTTAAGGTCGTGGGAGAAATCAATGCAGATTGCATTGGAGAATCTTCACTGTGTGCTAATCGTCACTGCTCTTCAGCAGAAAGGAATTGGGGAGCAACTTTTATCTCTCTCATCTTAAGGATTCTAGAATTGATGAGAAATACCACATCACTCTCCTCAAGCTCAAGGATGGATCTAGAGCCATGCTGTTTGTCAATGAGTGGCCTTCTCCCGGTCACCCCTCATGGCCTCAGAGGTGGCAGCCCTATAAGCAGTCCCTCACCTCAGTTTACCCTCTTGGTTACTCAAACTTAAAAAGAGTCTTTTACAAATCTTCTAATAGGGTCTGGTGTATTAACTTAAAGTTAAAAACAGCAAACACAAAAGTCTTCCCGCCAGCATTAAGCTGGCACAGCTCCAAACTTCCCTGCTGCCTACTCCCAGACCTTGTTGGCTGGAGCTCAGCCTTCTGGCTCTGGCTTCCAGGCCCCAGTCCTTCTCCCAGTCAGGGGTCCCTGCTTTATTAAATTAACAAACATTCAAAATAAAGTTTTCAAGTCCATGCAATCTCCCAGACCTTCCCTGCCTGTTGTCTCCCTACCCAGGTTTCAGGTTTCTCTGCTGGAGCCTACTCACTCCCAGCAGCCTCTGTACTCACTTCTGTTCTTCCTGAGAACTCCCTGAAAAAACTCTGCAACTTCCTACTGCTCTTAGAGGAGAATCAGGAGATTCATGCTCAGGTGTTCAGGGTTGGCTGGCTCCAGGCCTCTAGCCTTAAAAAGTATGGCTACATTCCAATAAAAAAAAAAAAAAAACACACACACACTCATGGCACTGAAGCTCAGAGCCCAGGTCTGTTGACTTGGGTTCACAGGGCTCGAGTGTGGGGTAAAAATTTCAGGGTAGATGTTTGGGCTTAGGCTGGAGCCTGGGCTCTGAGATCCACCCCGCCTTGCAGGGTTTCAGAGTTGAGGTTCCAACCCAAGCATCTACATTTCAATTTTTAGCCCCATGAGCCAATTCAGCTGACCGGGGTCAGCTGCAGCCATGCTGTGGGTCTTTTATTGCAGTGTGGATGTACGCTAAGACACAATATCTGCAGTTATAGCTAATTAACAAGCAGTGTGGAACAAGCAGCAAGTCCCTATCCAAGGAGATGAGAAAGATGTTCTGTTTTGCAGAATTTCTCCTACTTGCTATCTGGGCCACTCATGTACTTGGAGGGTTGAACTGGCTCAGCACTTAGGATTTCATCAAGAAAATATTTCTCCGGATTAGTTCAGGACCAGCCACAGACCTGTTTGCAACACACATGAATAATAGCGCCAGGATAGAGGCATAATTGTGGGTAATGAATCACTGTCAAGTGAACCAAGCCTTGCTCTAATCATCATTTCCTCTTCTGCTATTTGTTCCCAAAGTCCTTTAGAAAATAAGGGCACAGGAGGTGGTCATGCAGTATCTGTTCTGCTATTGAGGTGCTCTGGAACACAATCCAACAAGCTCTATAAGGCATCCCGGAAGTAAGATACTTTGCTGATTACTTTCTGACGTGTGGGACAACTCATGAGGCCCTTGACAAATCACTGAAATCAGTATTCAAGACACTCCAGGAGAAGAACCTCACTCTAAATGGAACAAAATACCAGTTCTATAAATCCTCTTTACTGTTTTTTGCTATAACTTTTCAGCAGCTGGCATAACACCAGAAACAAACTGGATAGTCGCCATCAAAAGTTTAGCAGCACCACAGAGTGTCAGTGAAGTACACAGCTTCCTGCAAATGCTCAGCTGTTGTGCACACTTCATTTCACACTCCGCCATAGTAGCTTAAAAGAGAAGCCATAAACCTGAGAAGTCCAAACTTGAGAAGCTATACTGATGCTCTCAGTTTGTTGCTTCCTTATCTGCTTTGACCAGTGACAGTGTAATATCCTACTTTCAAGCAAAGAAACACTTGATGGTGGCATCACCAGCACACAATGACAAACACTGCCAGCATAATTGCCATTGCCAGGAGAACACTGACACCAATGGAACAACAGAGAAAGAAGCTCTCATTGTGATTTAGTATGTGTATGGAATACGATGATCACAGAAAACAAACCTCTTGAACGAATATTTAACAATTCAAAATCTAAGCTGTTCACTAGAGTAGTTCTTCAATTCCAACCATATAAATTCCATGTGATCCACAACCATACAAGTTCCAACCCTTCAGGCCATGTGTCTTACTTCCTTGCAGGTCCACTGAGGACTTGACTTTATTATAGTAGTGTACATTATATCGCCACACATGCAGCACCAAAAGCAGTGATGCTGCATGAGCCTCAGCTTGCAACAAGAAAGATCCAGCACTTCATCCCATTTTCCTTGTCCTTCATACAGGAATAACCTACCAACTACCAAGAAACTCCAAAATAGAGAGAAAAATCTTAAAATCGTTCCCTAACACCAAGATCTGGCCATGGTACCTAATAACTTCCTATTTACATCTTTTGTAAAGTGCTTTGAGATCTAATGATGAAAAGCACTATGTCAGAGCTAGGCACCAGGTTGGTGATTCTAACATTGCTTCAACTAAGAGCACTGGCCTTTGATTTTGGAGGCCACCAATATCTTATCAAGATTCAACCTGCTTCTTCATGAAGAAGTCTAGTTTACAGTTATTTGACAAGCAGACTGGAAATCTGAGTTCTGGTTTCCATGTGAAGCAGCAATTCCTGCTAACAGCTACTTCAATGTCAGATTTGCTCAAAGGAGCCTGGCAGAAAAATCCCTCTTGATGTCTATGAATCCCTTCCTCTTCCCCTTTCCGTGGTGACTATTTTCTGGTTATTCTGGAATATTCAGGCTTCCAGTGGTAGAGCTTACCTCATGACATCACTACATGTCTACAAGCTAAAGCCAAGGAGAACTACATGGCCTGTGTATCCCCAGGGTGTCTGTTTATCTTTGGGTTTACTGCAGCTGAGTCTCATCTGTATCACAAAGGATGCTATAGAAAATGCTTATTGTGTCCTAGAGAGACCCTTCCCTTTCTTCTTGGACCTGGGCCTGATCCCCCCCATTTCTCCTCACAGGCTTCTCCTGATACTTGAATGGCTGGCATTAGAGAAGGCTTGTGTTGCAATGTTAGATAGTCTGTTAACATGTAGGAAAGCAGCTCTTCCAGGAAGTGCTACATGTCCTCGGTAAACTTGTTTATTGATGTAGAAAGGATAGAATCCAAAACTCTGTTCTATCCTATCAAAGATCACTTTAAAGGTTACTCAGTGTAGTCACACTCATTGGTCAGTATGCACCATATTTTCCATCTCATTTGCCTCATTTGAATTTGTGGGCGCTTTGCACCTCTTGAAATGCATGTCCTATGTACTTCAGGTTGGTTGGAAAATATTCTACATCTGTCCAAAACAATTGTTCGCTTTCCCAATTCATGTTTATGTAGGATTTCAATCAATTGTTGAAAAGACTGTGCACTTCAAATTGATAGCCAGAAGACAAGCATTGAGTTTATCACTTAAAGTGGTAGCCATAACCTCAACTAGAAGGATGGGTGAACTAGCAGCTTTCTTGCCATTTTCCTTTTCTCACCTTCTTTCCCAACAAGATCACCCTGAGAAGTGTTTCCCAGTTTAGACCCATGTCAGATTTAGAGTTCCATAGTGATCCGGGCATTCATCTCTGGTTAGGTCCTAGTCCCAGATCTTTAAATAAAAGGTAATTAGACTCCATCCTTAAATGGGGTAAGGAGATTAAAACATTAGCACCCTAAAACTAAAGAGACTAGGGGGTTGGATTTTTTTCCTTTTAAAGAAGCCTAAGAAAGGAAAATGGCCTTTTGTGTATTAGATGCATGGATCAATGCATACCATATTGAAATATAAAAGTTGGCCCAAGTTAACAGCCTCTCAGGGTTCAGGCCTCACTCTGCTAAAGGTGCTTTGGTTTCTGGGCCAGAGAATCACTGTTTTAAGATTTTTCAAACAACCATCTGGTGCTCATTACCTACCTTCCTGAAGCACTACAAGAGTAGCTTTTGGTGATTTCTTAGACACTGACGGTAGATGGAATGGAATGACCTGAGGTCAGTGGTCTAAGGCCGAACATGTTGACACCAGCTAGCAATCATGGGCCTACCCTAGGGCTTAAAAACACCGCTAAGTTGTAGAGCCCTTTATTCCCAGTCAAGAGACTGGAAGCATAAAAGAATAATTTCATCCTCGTAAATGATATTTCTGTGAGACTCTCCAGATGTCTATCGGACTTCACCCAATATCCTGTAATGAACACTGGACAATTTTCAGTTGTTTGTATATACTTCAAGATTTTTATTTACAAGTTGCTATGGGACCATCCCTGGAATATTTGTGATGTGTTGTCCCTGAGGGAAATAAAACTTCAACAGTGGAGCAGTCTCCCCCATCTTCGTGAAGGAGAGAGATGAGCAGCCCTTTAGTCCTGGACCTTGAAAGTCTCTTGCAAAAACAAAGTTTATAGATGTGACAGATGGGGTCATGAGGCTGCTCCTGTTTGTTCCCTAATTGAATATTGCCAACAACTAGCTCTTTGCATGTTCTGCCAATTGCTTTCCCTCCCAGTAGCAAGAGGAGAGAGGATAGTAACATAGTGGTATTACCCTATCCCAGAAGCCAGATTAGGGTAGAAGGTATGCAGACATCAGATTCCCTCAATGGACTTTTATGTTAGTTTATTATGCATCTTTATCAGTAAAAAGAGAGAGGATCTAAATTAAAACATATTTTATATTTCCCTTCAGATTTTGTATTTATAATATTTACATTCTGTTCTTGGTCCTGGAGCCCTGTGCATTCTTAACTCTAATTGAGATGGCAGATTTGCGTACACCAGGACTACAGAATTAGAAATGGAAGCATAGATTGAAATCTTACCTGAGTACTGCAGATATTTTAGTTAAAATATTATGAAAAAAATCATGTAATCTAGAAAATAGTCTGTCAAGCCATGTTGGTGCTGGAATAATTTTGTGACTGTATTGTTGCTATTTTCTCCAGGAGACTGAACAACAATGAATTCACAGTGTTAGAGGCGACTGGGATCTTTAAGAAGCTTCCTCAGCTGCGTAAAATGTAAGTTTATCTTCACTGACATCTGTTCAAATGGTATATTAGTTCACTGGTGTACTTTTCTATAAATTTTATTTGTTCACATCTGAGAGATGCAGTATATTCCATTCAGAAATCAAAAGGTGTACTGTAGCATGGGTTTGACCTAATCACTGAGTTAGATCAAAGTTGGCAGCTCTTTTCTGTGGAGCAAGGCACAGTCAGTTGCAACTTCTCATGCTGTACAGCTTTGACACCTTTAGTTTAGTGTTCAGCCAGCTGGTCTGTTATTCATCCAAATCAGGGATCTAGCAACCTAAGCAGTTCAAAAACAGTTCCAGTAATCTTTTGTAACTTCCTCTATTACTCCCTAACCATGCTGTTCTGCCTCTTTCAGCACATTCAGGACATGCTTTTGACTTTTTGCTTTATCAAACTATCATTAGGGGAAAATGTCAAAACTAAATTATTGGGAAAATGGCTTGATAGCTCATCCGTGTGAATTAATGTCCGCAATTCATATTCCAAGAGACGTTTAGACAGTTTCATAAGTCATTTCAAAAAACCAAAACAAAAAACCCACTATGAGAAGTCTTTTGTTTAAGCTTAGTGAAGGACAGAAATACTTGTCAGAGAGTAAAGAGGACATGTCACTTTTTTGTAGCTATATTTAGTGTTCAGTCTTTTTATTAATGTTTCTTCCAAACTGCAAACATAAGTACCAAGGAAAGGTACTTATGTCAATACAATCCCAGCAAATTCATGAAAAATGATCCACTGTTGACTTATATAAAGAGAAGAATAAAATGACTGCTACATGTGACGGTAAAAAAGGAGCCAACCTAGGTTAGTAATGGCCAAAAGTTATCACAGTTCGAGGGTTGTTCAGTAGCCATATGTGAAATGAGTCGATATGCACAGTCCAGTTCCAAGTGGGAGGGTGTCCAACCCCCCACGAAAACCACCATCACTGGTGGTACTTATCAGTATTCATATAGCAGATTCAGAGAGACCAAAGATCAAATGCCATGTCCGTTTCAACTACTCACTCACCCCTACTTTGTCACTCTAGGTCACAGTTGAGTCATTTAGGACTGTTTATTATTTTTATTATTAATAATCAATCACAGGTTCTTTCCCAAAATGGGCTACACCTGAGATTGCCTAAGAAATCCCCCTTCTCTCTGGGATTGAAATGATTGGCAGTAAAGTGGTATAGGTTCAATTATAATTTTACAAAGAAGCCAAATAATTATGATACCTATTAATATTACTGTGATGGGGTACTCATCTCTCAGCAGTGCCTCCTGTTGGCTGGGAGTGGCGCTGCAATCTTTTCTGCTCCTGGCACCTGCTATAGGTTGTTGAACTCGCTAGGCCGGTCGTCAGTGGCTCAACTCTCTGGCCAAGTCACACACAGCCAATATGCATGAATGAACTCCTTCCTGAGTAACAAAGGTCCAACAAGGACTATGCTGTGCCCTTGTTAGTGTCTTCAGTCCTGTCTCTGGGCTCAATTCTCAGTCCCCTCTGGGCTAACTTTTAAGTCTTTCCCTGTTCCCTTCTCTGTTATAAAGTACTGCCCCCAGGGCTTTCTCCCCTGAGACTCTTGTCTTCACCAGTACTCCCTGCCTCAGCTCTCCAGCCAGGTCCTCTCTCAAGTTCAATCCTATTCTGGTTGGGTAACCAAGAATTCACAAGATGGTCTGTCTTCCCTTACCAGGGTCTTCAATCCCATCCCTGAATTATTTAAATTCCAGCCCTTTGCTTGGGCTTCTAAACAAGTCTTTTCTCCTTCTTGGGCCTTGGGCCACCTCTCCAGTGGCCATGGGGGGAACCTGGGCCCACCCCTACTCTGGGTCCCAACCCAGGGACCCTATGAACAGCAGTCACGCAATACTCCCTTATCTGTTAGCTGCTAGTGTTTTCCCTGGGCTTCTTCCCACCTAATCTCTTTCCTTTCACCCTTTATTTTAGGATTACGGTTCTCAGGTCCTCTCTCTCCTTCTGGCAGCATTTTGCTTTCTGCAACTCTACTTCTGGTTCTCTCTCAGGCTCCTGGGGCCTCTCTGAGCAGGCCTAGAGGACCCACCTTCACTTCTCCTTTCCTGGGGCAGGGTGTGGTAGGACCACGAGTTCTCCTGCAGGGGGCCTCAAAGGGCCTGGTACAACCATCACAGCTACACAGCATAAACTTATCCAACCAAACACATTTAATATTTACACTATAAAAGATGAATAAAAATAGATGAAAATTAGCAAGTGGAGAACCTCAGAAGGCCACAGATCTAGTTGACAACTGTTCAGAGCCTGAGAGTACCCAAGGAAAGAAGACTAGGCATGGTACCTTCTACCCCACATTATCTAACTTGCATATAGTATTTCAGCCCGGATTAATACTAAAGAGGGATAGCTCGGTGGTTTGAGCATTGGCCTGCTAAACCTAGGGTTGTGAGTTCAATCTTTGAGGGGGCCATTTAGGGATCTGGGGCAAAGATTGGAGATTGGTCCTGCTTTGTGCAAGGGGTTAGACTAGATGATCTCCTGAGGTCCCTTCCAACCCTGATATTCTATGATCTAGATGTCATGGATACATACCCAGATTTGTTCTGATACCCCAATTATCATAAGGTCTATGCCTGTGCCTGTTCCATCTGTGGCATTCTGCATTTCCATAATTAAGCCTAATCATTAAAACTAACCAGTCATGTCAATCCTTTTTCAATTATTTCCTAACAATTTCTATGTATCAAATTGTTTATATAGCAAGCCTGACAATCCAATTACTTCTGTTCACCTACTTGTCCCCTTGCTTGTTCCAAACTAATGAGTAACACATCAAGATCAGTCATATACTCCGATAATAATATTATTATTGCAAGCAGCGAATGCATGGGAAAGGTAATAGATCAGCACACTGGAGGACTAGGGCCTAAATATTTAATTGAGTTAATGTTCTGTCAATAGTAATAACACTATATCACTTTGCCTCACTGATGAGTTGTACAAACATTAACTAATCCGTGAACACTAAATAGTATAGTAATATTCCCACTTTACACATGGAGAAAGTCAGATAATAAGAAACTAAGGAGATTGTCCTGGACCACGCATCAAGTCATCTGTGAATCTGTTTAGGGATATAGAGATCTTGGTTCCCAGACCTGTGCTTTAACCACAGACCAAATCATATCCTTCATCAAGAGCAAGGTATATTTGAAACAAATATTATGCAATAACTGAGTAGTCAAAACTCAGCTGAAGCCACAACCTTAGGTTTTACATTTGTCAGATATTGATACAGATTCATTCTGGTGTGTATGTATTTTAGATGTAATGAGTAATATATTTTTTAAAGTGAATAAATAAAAGCGATGTTCCAAAAAACACCAAATTATGTTTGTTTTTCTTCCAAATATCATAGATACCAGCAAGTAAAAGAAATAAGACTTTAGAATCATTTCATTTTATATGTTGTTTTGATCATGTAATTGCTTTGTAAAAAGTCATTACTGTATTATAATATCAGACTGTGTATAAAGTGTATATTTGGTGTTGTTTAAACTAAAATTTAAGTAAATATGAATATGGGTATTTGAAGAGAGCAAAATAAAGTATTGCAGATGTATCACTAAAATATTTAAAGCAATGTGTAAATACTGAAATTAGATACTTTTTCCAAATACAAAGTCACTGCTACTTGTTTTGAGTCAAATTTCAACACTGACAAAAAACTGCAAAAAAGGTGTAACATTTTTTGCAGATTTTCTTCCCATATTTTAGAACTGCTCTCCACAAGAGGAGAGACATAAACCATATCTCTTGTTGGTTTAAAAATTCCTCACCTTTTTTAGTAATAGTATAGATCATGAATATTTCATTTACTTGTCATCATTTGTACTACTTATTTACTTTTTGTATCTCTCTCAGCTTAGAAACTGAAACTAAACTAGTTCCTTTCAGTTTTGTTTCTCAGGCACCAACATTACATTGTTGTTCAGATTCAAAACACTGGAAGGAATTAAAACATTAACACACTGTATTTCAATTGAGTATCTTTAGAAATGGATGAAAATTTTTTCTTGTATTATGCAGGCACTGGTAGCAACCCTGATATTCTTTCAGTGGCAGATAAAAACTCAACTTCCTTTGAAAATCCCAGTCTATTGTTAAATTTGTACTGAAATTTGTTTTGCAGGATTAAAATCTCTGTATTGGATATTTTACTGAAATGAATTTATTCTCCAGTTTTACATAGTAACTACTTAAAGTAACCTAAGGCTATGGTAGTCTGCAGTGTTTCTTTAACAGTTAATTAGCTGAAGACACTAAAAAAAGACTTTTTTCTTTAATTCTTTTTCATGAATGTAAAATAGAAATCTGAGCAATAACAAGATCACAGATATTGAAGAAGGAGCATTTGAAGGAGCATCTGGTGTGAATGAACTGTTGCTCACCAGTAACCGTTTGGAGACTATTAGACACAAGATGTTTAAAGGACTAGAAAGTCTCAAAACATTGTAAGTCTAACTAATTGGTTGTCTTTCTTCCTGTTCTGTGCCAGATCTTAGACTTGACGCAAATTCCTATGTTTTTTGTAACCTTTGTTTTGAAGAAAAAAAATATGGAATATGGAAGCATATCCTAGCTCTTACTTCCATTTTACACCAAGCTTTTCCACTTAGAGTGTGAATTCATTAACTTCGGGCCTGATCTAGTTGAAATTCATTTCTGTGGCTAGTTGTCTACAAAAACTGTACATGCCTACTGAACTATGCAGCAGCTGAGGCTGCTCCTGATTCTGTGGGCAGATGCAAATAACCATCTCTGTAGCCATGGAAATTATGCATTCTGCACTGCCACATCCTTAGAATAGGATTTTTTATTCTGTCCATGGTAATTGTTATTGAGAATTACTCCAGAAGAAGGAGATAGATTCAGTGGATGTGGAAATGAGGGATGAGGGTCTTTCCCGAACGATTTAATGCCAGTTAGCCAAAGATGATGATTCAGTGGGCTCTGGCTTGAAGTTGTTATTACATTCTTATCTAGTCCTCTCTGCTTCCTAGGTAACTCCTCAACTCTCAGCCACAGAACTGTTGTTTTTGTTATGGGGCTTCTCTTGTACTCTAAACTTTCTAATCAGCAGATCAGCCCTCTGCGGAGCCAACAGCTGCAGTCTTCTGGGCTCTGCAGTAAAGAAGGATGCAGATATTTTTGGATACGTTGTACCGAAGATTTTACATTTAAGTTTAGCTTTATTTTTATTTCAAACTTGACAGTGATAGTTGCTGTTCTTATGAATCTAGGTAGGAAAAATTATTCTAGGGTTTATTAACAAATAAGCACAAAAACAACAAAACTTGAAACTGCATTGATCCTATAATATTACTTAGAGAAGTCTATTTTTAGGAAGGTTATTTTTGTTTAAGATTCTAAACTTTCTACTTGTTGTTAGAACAGTGGTGCCCAAACTTTTCCTCTTGCATCCCCCTTCCCAGTAATGGAATTTGTCTGCCCACCGGCTATGGAGCCAGGGCTTGGAGCAGGACCAGGGAGGAAATGTAGGCAGAGTGGGGCTGTGTGGCACTCCCTCTCTTCCCTCACCCATGGGGCTTGCCCAGGTTCTGCTGTGCCCCCCCCCGATGTTACTCCATGCCCCCCGGGGGGCATACCTCACCGTTTTGGGACCACTGTTAGAATCACAGTGGTTTCTGTTAATTGAGATTTGTTGAGCAAGTTAAGAGTGCTTCCTGCAATTTAGTTTACATATGTTAATGAGCGGAAATATGGACTGAAATACCACCAGAATATGTAAAAATTGTAACAAATAACCATGTAAATGTTTAATTTGTAGAAGCAGTTGTCTGATAGCAAAGAGAAAGCTGTCACAGTTCTCAGATGGTATCTTCACATGAGCTGTAAAGTTACTGAAATATTCATATAGCTAAAACACTAAAATTACAGTGAGTTTTCATTATAATAAATGGTGTCTTCAAAAATATGCCTCAGTTTAGTTTCTGTTGCTCTGCAATACAATATAAATATATATATGATATAATTATACTTCATGTTTTGTAATATTTAACTATATTGAATACCAAAATGGTTAATGCTCAAGAAAATCTTCATACATTAGATGTAGTATATGATTAAATTCAGTAAATGTTAAGTAAGCGTAATAAAACATAGAAAGATGTTTCGATAAAATCATTCTATTGGACCTTCCCTAAAGTAATAAATGTTAATCCTTTCTTTCTCAGGATGCTAAGGAGCAATCGTATAAGCTGTATAGGCAATGACAGTTTCACAGGACTGAGTTCTGTCCGTTTGCTCTCCTTATATGACAACCAAATTACTACAGTTGCTCCAGGTGCCTTTGATACTCTCCATTCACTCTCTACATTGTAAGTTACATTATATTTTTAGATTATCCAGGACTTGAAGCCACTCACGTGTTTATAACATTTGTATTTTCTGTGCATAATCTTGCAGTGTACATTAAGATTACACTAAAGAAAAATACAATAGTCAGTTTCAGAAAGTCTGTGTCCTGGGCCATCTTGAAGCACATATTCAAATGTGAATACAGGCATTGTCCTTAAACACTTACTGATAGTGTAACTTGACAGAAATTAATTTCTTTAATGTCTTGGGACTGATATTACTTAACACTTTTCATTAATGGCCTTGGCACAAAAAGTAGAAGAGTGATAACGAAATTCTGATGACAAAGTTTAGAGGCATTGTCAATACAGAGGAGGATCAAAATAGCATACAGGAAGAATTAGATAACCTAGAGGACTAGAGTCATAGAAATAGCTTGAAATTTAATAGTATGAAGTGCAGTGGCATGCACTTAGGAACTAATAAGAATTTCTGCTATAAACTGTTAATCAGTTGGAAACAAAGAGAAAGAGAAAGATCTGGCTGTATTAGTCAATCACAGGAAGAATATAAGCCACCAGTGCAATGTGTCTGTTTAAAAAAGTAGCAGCAGCAGATGTGATCCTTCTACTGGAAATGCATATAGTTAGGGAAGTATTAACACCATTGCACAAGGCACTGGTAAGACCTCATCTTGAATACTATGTACAGTTCTGGTCACCCATATTCAAGAAAGATTAATTCAGACAGGAACAGATGCAGAGAAGGGCTACTAGGATGATCAGGGGAATGCAGGACCTCTTGTGTGAGTGGAGACTAAAAGAGCTTTGCTTGTTTAGCCTTGCAAAACAAAGGCTAAATGAGGATATGATGGCTCTCTATAAATATTTAGAGGGGTGGAGGTGTGGGGGGTAGACATGAGGGTAAAATGTGTCTAAAGGGGCATGAACAAATATAGACTGAGGATTATAAGGAGGTTTCTAACCATGAGAGGAGTGAGGTTCTGGAGCAGTCTTCTAAAAGTAGTGGAGGGGGTAAGCTGACTAGTTTTAAGATGGAACTTGATAAATTTGTGAATGAAATTATATGACAGGATTGCCTGCGATAGCAGGGACTTGATTCAATGACCCAGGAGGTCCCTTCCAGGTCCTATGTTCCTTTGTTTACACCAGGGTTTTTAGAATAAGAAGTTTGCCATGATTGCCACTTCCACTGGTTGAACCAATTGTGAAAGCCCTAGTATTACAGGGCTCCCATGGCCATTGGCATTCTTGACACTGGTGTTCTACTTTTTGAAACTGCAGTTAATATATAGTCTAAATCCTACCTTGTAACTTAATTCAGACTTGCTGTATGATGGAACATTAAACTACAGTCCAATTTTCTGTGAAAAGAAATGGCTGTATTAGAAATAATACATTTTCAAAGGGTTGTCTGCCTTCAAATCTTTTTTTTAATTCAGTGGGAGGAAAAGGAAAAGAGGGGAGAGGAGAAGGAAAAACAGTGCCTGTTTAAGGAAGTCAGGTTACCAAAAAAGTAATTACAGTGGGAAGCACCGCTCAGTAAAGTACTTAATCCTCTTTCCACATAAAATGAGACACTTTACACCTAGTGACTAATTTGTGCAGATTAAAGATGGCATGTTTCTAAATAATGGAATTGTCAATAGGGTTGTGGTGAAGTGAGGAGATGCCAAAAGTACTCAGACTTGTAGAAGTAAATTCATTTTTATAACTGACATGTAATCAACTTAGCTGTCAGTTTAGATGAGAAACTTATTCTCTGGAGCAAATAAAAGATGGAAATCTTGAGATGACAAATTAATGAAATAGCTGTTATCAGGTTAAAGCTAATAATGTAAAGTAATCAGCCTTCATCTCTATATTAAGTTACTGCTTTATCAGTGCACGGTAGTTTGACAGCAAGTCAGATCTCTGACAGGTTTAAATTATTTCTAAATGAACTATATCAAGATTCACTGCACAAATCCTAAATTGCTGCTCTCAGCTTTGGTTTGCTTATGGAATTGTTTGAAGAATTTCATTTAGGTTGAACTTTTTGAAAATACACATTGTATTTTTTAAAATGAAAACAAAGTTACATCATTGAAACTAAATTATGTATTGTTTGCATGTGGTTTTCAGAAACCTCCTGGCCAATCCTTTCAACTGTAACTGCCACCTGGCTTGGCTGGGAGATTGGCTGAGGAAGAAACGCATTGTAACTGGAAACCCTCGCTGTCAGAAACCCTACTTCTTAAAAGAGATTCCCATCCAGGATGTGGCAATTCAAGATTTTACTTGTGATGATGGTAAGAAATTCATATTGGATCTGTCAGAGTAGTGTAGTTCTGCAGCTCTCTTACATATAAGATGCCATAGACTAAGTGGTCCATATTACAGGCACTTTTTTTTAAATTTCATAAATGTTAACTGTGATCCCAGTTTAACTCCTGAATAATCATGTCTATTCTAGAAGCAGAGCACACACAATTTGAGATGATTAAAAAGCATGCAACTGTCCATATACATTGGTCAACAAACCTTTTGAAAACAGTGCAGTACTGTAAATTGGTATTTGTCTGGAGTACTGTGTCCAGTTTTGGGCCCCACGCTACAAGAAGGATGTAGAAAAATTGGAAAACGTCCAGTGGAGGGCAACAAAAATTAGGGGGCTGGAGCACATGACTTATGAGGAGGGATTTGATAACCTCTTTCAACTACCTGAAAGGGGGTTCCAAAGAGGATGGATCTAGACTGTTCAGTGGTAGCAGATGACAGAACAAGGAGTGATGGTTTCAAGTTGTAGTGGGGGAGATTTAGGTTGGACATAAGGAAAAACTTTTTCACTAGGAGGGTGGTGAAGCACTGGAATGAGTTACCTAGGGAGGTGGTGGAATCTCCTTCCTTAGAAGTTTTTAAGGTCAGGCTTGATAAAGCCCTGGCTGGGATGATTTAGTTGGGAATTAGGTCCTGCTTTGAGCCAGGGGGTTGGACTAGATGACCTCCTGAGGTCCCTTTCAACCCTGATATTGTATGATTTTGAGGTAAAGTGGAGATTGAGATAATTGGACCAACGGTTGTACAAATGAAAATGTTTTCAAACGCTGACCCTTGAATTCAATACTTTCGTTCAGGCTAAATAGTCAAATGTTATATTACTATTGCTCAGTCAGTGTGTTAGTTATTGATTTTTTTATATTTCTCTGCAAATATTTGAAAAATCTGCTACTCCTCTCTTACATCCCAATCCTTCTAATTCCAATCTTAATTGTATGTTTGCTGTTACTCAAATGTATAACTTTTCCCTATGCTGCCTTTATTTACTTTAAATTATTGTAATTTTTTAGAAATCAGTGTATATATTTCTTTGTCACTTTGTGTTTAGGAATTTTGACCTTACCTTAATGAGGCTTTTTCTAAAGAATATGCCTCAGATACTAAAAACAGTGTTATACTAAATAAATGATATCATTTGAAATGTAGCTAAAAGTGATAACTTAATTATTTCCATCCATGGAGCTACTGCAGTGCTCTATGGATGGAACCTTCATGTCTGTTAAGTGGAATTAAATACAGTGTGTTAAATTCTTGCCAATTCTTAAGTGCTCTCTGCAGAGCAAAGCTTTATTTATCTGTTTCTTTTCACTAACCAGGAAATGACGACAACAGTTGCTCTCCATTGTCTCGCTGTCCCACGGAATGTACTTGTCTAGATACTGTGGTTCGCTGCAGCAATAAAGGTCTTAAGGTTTTGCCCAAAGGCATCCCAAAAGATGTAACTGAACTGTAAGTAGCACAAGTTCTTCCTTTTCTTAAATCTAAGTTCAGAATCATATTGTCTGATTCAGAATGAGGCAGAGTAAGTAGGCAAAACGAAGAACTGAGATTTGTCAATCAGCTGGAGTTTGAGACTTTATCGCTTGTTAGATATTAAGACCTGTAAGTCAAACAAGGAAATCTTTATAAAAAGAATTTAATAACAAAAAAGTCCTGTTTATAATAGTAAAAAGGCCCATATAATTATGAATTATTGTAGTATTCTATGATTAGCTCTCTTAATATATAGTAGAGAGAGATCTGTGTGTGTGCACTTAGGGTACATTTTTTTGCTTACAGAGAGAATGTCACATTGAATTTTCATTGTCCAACATGGAAGAAATGCAGAAAGTAAACAACATAAATAGCATTAAGACAATTAGCTATTTAAAATTCTTATCGTTTCAATAGTTTAAGGAATTTTTTAGTAACATATTTAAGGAAAAGAGTAATTTTTAATAAATGAATTTCAATTAGTTCTCCAGTGGAGGCTTGTTTATGAAAAAAGTTGTGTATTTGGAAAAATAGTAAAGATTCTTTTGTGAATATCGTAAGGCGGATTTTCAAAAATGTCCTCTTGGGTATTTATTTTCCAACTTCAAGTCTTTAGATTCCCTAGGACTTGGTAATTCTATTCATAGATATAATTTGTGGGTACAAATTAGTTTTGCAGATAGCCAGCTACTCAGTTTTGAATGTACAAATGCTCTATGCATATGCACTTCAAAGATTTTGAGGCAACCCAAATTTTATACACAAAAGAATGCAAAATTTCAGAAACAAATTTAGAAAATGGGTTATGACTTCTTTGAAACTTCATCTTATATATTTGAGATGTAAAGAAACACTCAGAAAAGCCTCAATAATAAATACCTTTTAATATTTCATCATCTCCTCTTATTACAAATAGCTGCAGTTAATAATTAAACACACAGGAAGGCATTGAAGTGTTTTCTATCCACTCTGTTTAATATTAAAAATCATTAATGTAAATATTTTCTTTGGAAGGCATCTTAAGTGTGCCCTTTAACACTTTAATAGCTTCCTTGTTTTACAACTATAATTATTCAGAAGTTTCTAAAACATCCATCAGTAGTTTGATGGTAAAAACAGGATACCTTAACAAATGCATCCGTAATTCCCAAAGAGAAGCTAGTGAGAATTCCTACTGACATTCTAGTAAAAAAAATGATCACCTTTGCTATCAGTGTTTTTAATAAGTTCCTCAATTAAACACAGCTTGCTGCCTGATAGATACAATTTGATTCACATTTAGGAGCAATGACTTGTAAAATTGTACATATAAAGAAATTTATATGGACTGCAACACCTTTTGTGACTGATAAGTCCCTTACATGCAGTTTTGTGCACCTAAGTTAGTGTCTAAAGTGTGCATGCAGCTCACTGTATTTGGGTTTTTTTTTAAAGAGAAAACAAAGGAGTTAGTTTTCTGCTTGCAGTTGCATCCTGATCAATTCTTCTTGTTCATTAAAATGCATACACCTTCCAAGATGTGATCTCCTTTTCATTATGTAATTGTCCTAATATTTCCTTCATTCAAACAAGTAATGGTTTTTGCAACCAAGAAAAAAATTTGTAACTGGTGAAAGCTTATTTTTAATGATACAGAGATAAAATAATAAATTGTTAACATTTTTCTTTTCAAACCTCATTAATTTTATCACGATATACAGTACCTTACTCCTTCAAGAAAGTTTTTAAAAATACCTTTTGTGACAAAGTTCCTCCTCTGCCTTGGTGGATACTGCACTTTTTGGCAGATTTTCTCACCTCAGAGGTTCATGGCAGCCCTCAGTTTGGCCGCTTCTGCTAGAGGCTCAAACCTGCCATTCACTCAGCTAACCTCATCACTGGCCAGCATGGGGGAATGGAGAACAATCTCCGCAGTCTCCGTTGTCCCACCTAGAGGGTCAGGGACAGGCCAGATCCCTTTCCAAATTAGACCTTCCCTTCTGGTGTTGCTCACAGACCAGGTCAACTTCTCCTGTGTCTGATCAGGAGTTGGAGGGAACCCAGGCCCACCCTCTACACCAGGTTCCAGCCCAGGGCCCTGTGGATAGCAGCTGTCTATGTCTCCTGTGTCAGCTGCATGACAGTGACAGCTACAGCTACAACTCCCTGGGCTACTTCCCTGTGGCCTCCCTCCAGCACCTTCTTTATTCTCACCGCAGGATCTTCCTCCTGAAGCCTGATCACATTTGTACTCCTCAGTCCTCCAGCAGTATGCCTTCTCACTCCCTGCTCCTTGCATGCCCTTCCCTAACTGATGGGAGGTCCTTTTTTAAACCATGTGTCCTGATTAGTCTGCCCGCCATAATTGATTCTAGTATGTTCTTAATTGGCAGGTGGCTTAATTAACTTGCCTGTCTTAATTGGCTCTAGCAGGTTCCCTGATTGCTCTAATGCAGCCCCTGCTCTGGTCACTCAGGGAACAGAAAACTATTCGTCCAGTGGCCAGTATATTTGCCTTCGACCCACTGGTCTCGGTCTGTCACACTTTGTTTGTAACCTCTTAATAAAGTGTTAAAAATTCATTTCCTGCCATATATGCAGTATCATTGATGTATATGTGTAAAAATGTTCAGAAGTACATATCAAAGTTGGCAAAATATAATAACAACAGGGCTATGGATGCAGAAGAAGGCAATACAAATGGACTAGACACCATATACCTGGACAGAGGCTGCAAAAAAAAAAAAAAAATCTGCTGTGCCCCCTCAGCTAGATCCTGTCTGGATTAACTGAAACACTCTCCATAAAGAAAGGATTGTGGATCGCCACCAGCTGTCATTAGTCTCTCAAAGTACCACCCATGCCCAGCCTCTGATCTCCTCCATCACACATAGCTTGCTAGTAAGAGGAGAAATTAAGGAAAGTCAGTGTCACAGTGCTGGGTTTCCTACAGCCTAGTATCAGTTACCTGCTGCCACCAAGTTTCTCTCTTAGAAATTTTATCTTGAGCTCTCCTCACCAGGAACAGGGATCCCTTCCCCTGGTAAGTACAGTAGATGTTCTTCGAAGATCAGTGCAGAAATCTTCATTCACCACAGCTACACTCCAGACTGAATTAAGAAACTTGTAATTTATTATTTACAATTAAAACCTGTGAATGAACTCTGGAAGTGCTGCCTATTGTCCTTGTCAAGCACAGGAAGATCTTCTGGCTTCCTGTTCATAAGCCAGGGAGTCTGATATTCTTCCACTCTGGTCTCACTACAACCCTCTCAGTAGCCCAGACCTCTACATCCCTGCTGGACCAGTCTCTGGAATCTGGAGAGACCTTTCTTGGCAACTTCAGCCAGCTAGACCAAAATTAGCTCCAGCTAGCAAGTCTCCACTCTCCCTCCTCCAGTGGTCCTTCTCCCAGTACTGACATTCAAACCAACATTCTGGGATGGCTCTCAGCAACCCAATGAGCCCTCAGAGTCCTTAGGTTTCAAACCACTATTTCACGTCCACCAACATATTTTGCCTCCCATGTGCCTCTTACTTAATATAAACCTAACACATTCCCTAATGTTCTCCACAGTCCCAAACAAACCAAAATGAAAATTCCAACATGTTATCATCTCTAATGCTCTGTAAAGCAATAAACAAAGTATAATTGCATAACCCTCCATTATAAGCAACTAAAAATATGGGAGATCCTCAATTATTATTTGAAAGAAAAATTAAAATAGTTAAGTTTATTTAGCTAAATGTAGATAAGTATCCATCTAGACTCATATCCATATCTATGTTCATCTCCGTGTAACACATGAGATGCTGAATCACAATAGCTGTCAAAGGGAATATAACTGGTCGGTATGAGGAATGAGGTTTTGTATCCACAGGTTTTGTATCAGAGCTGTGTGAACCTGGGCCCAGCCACCAACCAACCCATTTGGCAAGCTATCTGAATCACCGATGCATGTCCCATCAGGACTCTTGACTTCTGACCTAAGTCAACTGAGGCTGTCCGCAGCACTCCTCTGTTCCAATTCCTGCTTTTTGGAGGGTGTTTTCCCCTTGTGGTCTTTGATTCTCCTTCACCAGCTGTGGTGTTCACAACTGCTCAGAGGATTTGGGATCCATCACATATGTGCCTAACAAGTTTGGTACTCCAGCTAGTCATTGTATTCCTATGAATGCGGGTATGACATAATAGGTTTACTATTAGAGCTGGGGCCAGAAGCAGCTACCTCAGCAAACTCATTCACCATTTTTTGTCCAACATTGGGTTTGTACTATTGATGTGTAGCTATACCCAGTGTGAAGGACCAGATTGGGATAATAATGTCGCTTGTAGCTGTCAAGTTCTGTTTCTATTTACAGTAGCATAAAATCCAATAAGAAAAGGAGTACTTGTGGCACTTGAGAAACTAACAAATTTATTTGAGCATAAGTTTTCGTGAGCTACAGCTCACTTCATTGGATGCATTTAACTTGACTGAATGCATCCGATGAAGTGAGCTGTAGCTCACGAAAGCTTATGCTCAGATAAATTTGTTAGTCTCTAAGGTGCCACAAGTACTCCTTTTCTTTTTGCAAATACAGACTAACACAGCTGCAACTCTGAAACCAATAAAATCCAATGAACCACATTAAAATGACTTGTATAAGCCTGATGTGGTCTTTACTTCACAAGATACATCTGGCTCTTAGGCAGTTGATCCCATCTATTCCCCAGCCATCATGTCATCCTAATGTTGAAGAAGGTAAAACTATAAGCAACTGCAGTAGTAAATTGAAACTTTATGTATTCACATGTACTTTTAAAGCACGTATCTCAACCTTATTTATTGCTTTACTCCTAACTATTGTCTTGCTGAAGGTATTGATCTTTTAATTAGATGAATAATACTTCATTATTTTATTTTTCTGTTGTAGTTATTTGGATGGAAACCAGTTTACCCTTGTTCCCAAAGAACTTTCTAACTACAAACATTTAACACTTATGTAAGTAACTTTAGAGCATCTTTTTGTGTGGGATTGATCAAAAAGCTGCTCTTCCATTTAATGAAACAGTTACAAGAAAAACATAAAATGTAACCAACTTTTTAACAGATTTCGCCCTAAGGCACATTTTATAAATGGGATATTTTTAGTCCAGTGATCACAACACATTTTATTGCAGAGTAAATAGGCAGGAACTATAGTAAACCTGAAAAGAAATGCAGAATCTCACAAAATGTGCATTAGAGTATGACAGCTTCAGTACATTGTCACATAGACATACAGTATTAGCCTCAATAAAGGCATGAAATTATTTCAATTACAGAGAAAAGATTTTGTAGTTGGTTTGAAACACATAATGCTACATCTCTGCAATTTGGTAACCTGCCACAATTGATGGTCTAGTGGTTGGAGAAGGGAATTTAGTCAGGACACTTCATTTTTATTCCTAGCTGTACTGCTGACTCACTGTGCGATTTTTGAACAAACCGCTAAGCTCTTTATGTCTTAGTTGATATAAAACAGAGATAATACTTTGTAAAACAGAGATAATACTGCTTTCCCTGTGAGACGTATGGGCAGATCCTCAGCTGATGTAAATTGTCATAAGTTCCATTGAATTCAGTGGATCAACTGGGGATAAACCTCATCATGTTTTGAAGTACCTTGTAGCATAGGAGCAACCACAAATTAAAAATTAGGGCAACAAAATGGCTACCAGTTTTCTTGCATAAAGCAAACTAAATCAGTGTAACATTCTGAAAATGCCCCAGCTCCTTTTGTATGCCTTATTCTAGACTAAATGGTCCAGTCTTCAAATTTAGAAAATAGATGCATCTCATTTTCACAAAATTTCCAAATAGTATCAACAATTGCACTATTCTCAAATGTATGCAATCTAGGCCTGCATGGAGTGTTTGTGGATTTGTGCTGCAAGAGGTGTATGAGACTTACCTTGCAGTATACAGGCCTGTAAGGAGCGTGCATGTAGGTTACTGTTTGCTGTAGTGATAAGCACTCCTTTATCATATTGGCCCACAAAGAGGGTGTCTGAAGGTTTGATTGTTTGGAGTAGTGATGATCAACCCTGTATTGTGTATGTAATGTTAAATGCTCATAAAACAAATGCAAATTACAATATCAGATTTACTGTAACTAGTCATTCAGGCTGGCATTTCAATAAATAATGTTGATAGGGTACAAATGCAAAGTATAAACAGCAAAATTGTTCAGTAAATGATAAGTAGTATTAGTACATTAATATTCTGAAATTCTGGGTAGATGTTTGCAAAAGTAGAAAGCCATGTATTACATTTTTGGACATTCTCTCTTGGTATTGAAAGATTATCTGTAAATTCCTATCTTTCCTTGTGTATACATTAAAAAGGATCCAGATGATTCAGGTATTCTTGTTTCATAGACCCGTGTTAGACCTCCATAGGCAGGAAATGGATAACTGTGTCAACTGACCATAAATGTGCCCAGGTCAATCATCATCCCAGTAGCGTCATGACTTACAGCTTAAGTTTCCATTGCTTCCTGAGTTACAGAGTTCCTGTACAGCATTAAACAATACACAAATGGAGTAATGAACATATATGGGACCCATTACTGAATTATTGGAGTTGCTCACAGTCTTTATTTTATTTATCCTCACAACACTGCTGTGAAGTAGGGAAGAATTATTTAGCCCCATTTGAAATATGGGGAAATCGAGGCACAAAGAGACTGAAGGCATGTCTACACAGTTGACAGGGTAGATCCTGCTGGTGCGCTTTAGTGTGGTGCTGTTTGAAACACTACTATGTTAACCTCTAATATGCAGCAGCAGGGTCAACACTGACCAATTAATGTGCAACATGATAGTGTGCCTTAGAAATCACACCTCCATAAATGCATTAATCCACCATGTAGACAAGTCCAAGGTCATACAGTAGGGAATTGAATCTGGGTCTTCTGTGTCTAGGCCAATACCCTACTCCTGGACCATCCTCCTTCTCTTTTCTCTTTCTGGTACAAATAGATTGTGCTCAACTGCACTTGGCTGACATGTTGATGGAAACGTTATAGGTTTGTCGTCTTAGGTTTTCTAATGGCAAATTTTGATGAAGAAGCCTGTTGCACACCATTTCTGCCATTGCTTATTCAATAATACTGCTAGACAATTACAGCTAAAATATTAAGACCCCTCAGAAGCTCATGCCAAAGAATACTCTAAAGAACAATAATGAAATAACCAAGATGAGCAAAGCCAAGAGAAGGTAGAACAACAGTAGGAGAAAGTAGAAACAACTACAGCTTCCATCAGCATGATTCATTTCCAAAGTTTCCCCAACAAGCACAGTGCCCTTCAAAGATTCTTTCTCCAAACGCCAGCTGCCTTAAATTTAAATTAAGAAAAAAGACTTCATTCATTAGAATATGGAGCGGCCACAAGGACTTCAAAACTTTCACCCATGTAGACCCAAGATTTCACATGTTATAGGAGCATTGGAACCCAGGAACAAGTTTTGGGGGGAAAAAAACCTTCTTTAAAATAGTTGTACCTATGCTTTGAAACCTCCAGATCAAAGGTGTCAGGTAATACTTATTCATATTCCATTAGGGAGGTAGCTAGAAAGATTCCCACTTAAAATTATCTACCTACATCCCTATTCCCAGTTCACCTGCTAGTTTCATTTAACACTGTAAGATATAGTCTTAGTAAAGGAGCATGATGGACGCTGGCATTGTATAAGAATGCAGGACACTGAATTGCTTGGCCTTTTATCCTTTGAAATGAGAACACTTTTCATTTATCAATGTAAGCTCTTGCTTGGCTTGTACGTGGCATGTCACAATAAAAAGGCATTCTTTAAAATATCAATATTAATAACAATACTACCCCTACTAATAAAAATAATGTTCTGTTTCAGTTCTAGAGTATGGTGTTTCAGAATTTGTGCAGTCATTTTATGGACTGAATTTCTGAATTTATTTTTTATAGAGATTTAAGTAACAACAGAATCAGCACTCTTTCTAACCAGAGCTTCAGCAACATGACTCAGCTGCTCACCTTGTAAGTTTAAATGTATAACAGTGAATGTATGAAAACATTACAGTGTTTATTGTCTTGAAAAGAAAAGGCAACCTATTAATATTAAAACTTGCTTGATTTGGAGGCTGTAAGATAACTGTTTGCTAACTGGCTATGAATGCAAAAGGTACATTTAATCATGCTCTGCATTGTATGTGTGTGTTTGTTTACTTGTTTTATGTTATTTTATATGCTTTCAGAATTCTTAGTTACAACCGTCTGAGGTGTATCCCTGCACGGACATTTGATGGGTTGAAATCACTTAGGTTACTGTAAGTAGTTATTTTATTTTGAAAAAACTTATTTTGTGTAACAACAGACTTGGAAACCCATAGGGAATTAATAAATCTTCAACCCCAATAAGTACTTGAGGAAAAAATAAAGAACAAAGAATCACAAAATATTAATTTGCTGCATTTTTATTATATAATTAAAATGTGGTACAGTGAGTATAAATAAGTGCTGTGATAGGTCATAGAAAGACTGTGCATTGTACACATTTCTGTTCTACTTCTTGTTTCTTTGTCTCTTATGTCACGTTCTTGCTTGTAAGATTCAGTTGTGTATGTCTAAAAATGTTATTTGTATGTGACATAGGAATGGAGTCTCAAACTATATGGTGTTATTATTCTAAGTATCTTTTTTTTTTTTTTAGCCATTAGATTTTGAATGTGTTTTAGCTTTCCCTTAATAAATTGCTTACTTTCTTTCACTTAACTTTGGGTGCTTTTCCAACTCAGAATTTGATGAACAACTGATGATGAATAAAATATTCTGTGATTTAGCCCAGTTTCTTTTAACAAACAGACTGCTATTTTAATCTTATTTCTGTGTTGCTTGAAGTTATTTAAATGTTTGGTGCACACAAATCTCAGTCTGTGGATAGCTGCCTGTATTCTTTCAAGTATTTGCTGTTCAGTATCTGAGCTGTATGATTGGTCACCTGAATTACTAAATTTTGATCTCTGACAAAGAGGCATACATCTTATTATGAACGAATTTTTCTTAGGGCTGGTTCTGAGAGCAGCAGAACTTGTGAATGGCGCCCATATTGGTATGGTCCACCATAGCAGGTCAGAGAGTCCTGCACATGCTCATTCCTAATGTGAGAAAGCTAAGCTGAGCCTATTTGTTGACTCAAAGTACAATGGCCAGATTCTGGATGCTGATCTTTTTGACCATTTCAGTGGTGCAAAGCAGCCAAAAATCCAGTTTAACCATCTGATAATGAATTCCTCTGGCTTATGGATAATTTCCTGCTGGCACAGAAACATCACAGGTATTCTATACCCAGTTCACATCCTGACTTCTAGCTGAACATGACCAGGGCCTTTGGATGTGTAGTTAGAGTTCTGGGACTTCTTTAACTTTTAGACATGAATGTCACCAGGCACTGCTAGTTTTTGGAGCTGCCTGTCTCTATCAGATATGAGGGAATGGCATTGGGATAGAGAATATTTCAAGCCACAAGTTCATTTTCCTTGCTTCTGCTGCCCTTACCTGGGGTACTTCTAGGATTTTACTCTTGGATGCTCCTACTGCCTCCTTGGGGATTTCCTTCAGGACCTTCTCCTGGAAGATCCCCTTCCATTATGGCCTCCTTCCCCGTTGCTGATGCCCCCCTACCTGCCTGTTTCATGCTGCCTGCTATTTGTTGTTTCCACTCTTACCTCGCAGTTATCCTGGCCTTATTTATATTCCCTGTGCCTCAGCCTCCCTGTCCCTCCCATTATTGCCCCTCCTTCAACTAATGTATCCGTGCCCCTATTCTCCCCTAAACAAAGTGTCGCTGCTCTTCTCCCAGGAGATTTCTCCTTCCACCCTCCTCTCTAGCTTATGTTCCAAACTAGGGCTGTCGATTAATCACAGTAAACTCATGTGATTAACTCAAAAAAAAAATGAATTGCAATTAAAAAAATTAATCACAATTAATTGCAGTTTTAATTGCACTGTTAAACAATAGAATAACAATAGAAATTTATTAAATATTTTGGATGTTTTTCTACATTTTCAAATATATTGATTTTAATTACAACACACAATACCAAATGTACAGTGCTCACTTTATATTATTATTTTTATTACAAATATTTGCACTGCAGAAATGATGAATGAAAGAAATAGAGTTTTTCAATTCTGCTAATACAAGTACTGTAGTGCAGTCTCTTTATCATGAAAGTAGATTTTTTTTGTTACATAACTCAGAAACAAAACCATGTAAACCTTTAGAGCCCACAAGTCTACTCAGACCTACTTCTTGTTCAGACAATCGCTACGACCAACCAGTTTGTTTACATTTACTGGAGATAATGCTGCCTGCTTCTTATTTACAATGTCACTTGAAAATAAGAACAGGCATTCACATGGCACTTTTGGAACCAGCGTTGCAAGGTATTTACATGCCAGATATGCTAAACATTTATATACCCCTTTGTTATACCAATAAAATAAAAACCAGCAGGATCTTATTAAAGGGAAAAAGGCAAAATACCACATTTATTGTGAATACCGAAAGAATCATAGTAAGCAGTTAGTTATAGCTATAACATTCCATTCAATCTCATATTTATTCATACATTCATTCATACAAACACACACACATAGGTTCTGCAAGGTTGTTATCATAGTTACCAGCCTTAGAGTTGCTCATGCCAAGTCACTGGCCAGGTGGCCTGGACATGAGGAGGGAGCAGGGTCTTGTCAGTTGCTCATCTGATGCTCCTGGAAGTTGGTTTGCAGAATCAGACCCCAAAGTTCTCACTTTTTAGAGTCTATTTTTATAGGAATTTCTTCCTATGCCAGTCTATGGGAATTGCTTCATCATGCTGTTGCTGAATCAATCAGCAGATAGCACATTCCTGACGGCTCCATGCTGCTAGATGTTATCTTGTTCTTTGGTTCTCCCATTCTTGAGGCTGTTGGGTGGATTCCAGTCTGCCCTCTGGGGGTCCTCTGGTTATTTCCACTTGACGCCTTCTTCAGCCGATGGACACTGGATTCTTAGGCTGGTACCTCCCTGATCATTCAGTTATTATCCACACCAAGCATCCATCCACATACATCCTCTATCTCTATTTTAATCACAATTGTTAATACAACAAAAGGGCGGGGAGTCTCTGGGTGTTGTTTCTGTTGTTAGAGTATTGCTTTGAGTCTCTCTCTCTGTGAATTGCTTTGAGAACAGACTCTGTCTTAGAATGTACTAACACAATTAGCAGCTTGCAAGTTTCACATATAGAGGGAGAGAAACAGTACCAAAAACCAAGAGACCTCTTAATTAGTAATACCCTGGAATTTAAACTATGGGGAACCAAACTCATTTGTGATTTTAATACAGAACTTCTTTAATATGATCCAACATCTTCATGCTTTGGCCACCATTCCAGAGGACATGCTTCCGTGCTGCTGATGCTCATTAAAAAAATAATACATTAATTAAATTTGTGACTGAACTCCTTGGGGGAGAATTATATGTCTTCTGCTCCGTTTTACCTGCATTCTGCTATATATTTCGTGTTATGGCAGTCTCAGATGATGACTCAGCACATATTGTTCATTTTAAGAATATTTTCACTGCAGTTTTGACAAAACGCAAAGAAGGTACCAATGTGAGATTTCTAAAGATAGCTACAGCACTGGACCCAAGGTTTAAGAATCTAAAATGCTTTCCAAAATCTGAGAGGGATGAGGTGTGGAGCATGCTTTCAGAAGTCTTAAAACACTCCGATGCAGAAAGTACAGAACCCGAACCACCAAAAAAGAAAATCGATCTCAGATGAGGAAACTGAACGTGCATCAGTCCGCACTGCTTTGTATCGTTATCAAACAGAAGCCGTCGTCAGCATAGACTCATGTCCTCTGGAATGGTGGTTGAAGTGACATATGAATCCTTAGTGTATCTGGCATGTAAATATCTTGTAATGCTGGCTACAACAGTGCCATGCGAATGCCTGTTCTCACTTTCAGAAGACATTGTAAACAAGAAGCAGGCAGCATTATCTCCTGCAAATGTAAACAAACTTGTTTGTTTGAGTGATTGGCTGAACAAGAAGTAGGACTGAGTGGACTTGTAGGCTCTAAAGTTTTACATTGTTTTATTTTTGAATGCAGTTTTTTTGTACATAATTCTACATTTGTAAGTTCAACTTTCATGATAAAGAGCACTGTGCAGTTTGTATTCTGTGTTGTAATTGGAATCAATATATTTGAAAATGTAGAAAACGTCCAAAAATATTTAAATAAATGGTATTCTGTTATTGTCTAACAGCACGATTAATTGTACAATTAATCACAAGTAATTGCGATTAATTTTTTTAATCGCTTGACGGCCCTACTTCAAACCAGTCCATCTGTTTCTCTCTCCCCTGTTTAGCTATTTTGTCCCTAACTTCCTTTCCTCCTGAAAGAATCTCTCTGCGCACCCACCCTCATAGCAACCCTGGCCATCACTGCTCCAACCCAGCTGGGCTAACATCTTTTGTCTTGCCTGTGTGAACAGTAAAGGACATACTGTGAATGGGAAGGGACAGTGAGGATGGAGAGATATAACTGGATGTTTATTCACGTACTAGCTACTTTATTAAATCTATAAACAGGATAACTTGTTAAGGCAACCTGTGCTGACAGTGGTGAAAGGAGGTAGGCGTTAGCCAGCCAAGCTATCACCAGTTTTACCCCTTTTGATGCTCTAACCTGGAGCATGCTCTAATTCCAGATTCACTCAGTCACTCACTCACTCTAGTCGAAGGCCCTAACAGAGCCTGTATCATATTATTTCGTAGTCTACCACAACCGAGAGCAGCCTGCTATGTAGAAAGACATTATGCCATGTAAGAGTGCTTTAGGCTTACCTGCAAGTGCCAACACCTGCTTCCTAGGAAAGATGGTGACTAATTCACAAAGAAGGCAACTCAACCCAGACATTAGATTGGGGGTGTAGAGGAGAAGATGATGAAATTCTTCCAAGCGCTGCACACAAAATGAGACCTACCCATGTGAGTCACCAAAATGAGGCATTGCTCTCAGCAAATTGAATGCATGCTCAAATTATTTGAGAAGCTCTCTAAGCTCCACTAGGCTCCTTGAGTTTGTCTTCTCCTATGTGGGACTTTGGTATTCCAAAGGGATCTGCTAGGTTCCTGAAGTTTGGCTCCTCCTTAACTGGGGGGGGGGGGAGGCCAAATGCAACCCACTTCTAGCACTAAAATGAGAGGCTGTTCACAGTAAAGTGTGCAGTTCTGTGGTCCTCCCTCTTCTTCCTTACATGAGGAATGAAGTAATTTAAATGTCATCATTAATATCACTAGGTTCTGAGTTATCACTACCTGATCTGAATGGGGCAATTCACACCTTTCAGCTATTGTTCTTATCTCTGTATCACATTATTCACATTTGAGGATTTTTTCACAATCACAACAGAGTTTTACTGGGGATTTCTTTGTTTTTGTTTCTTAACGAAAGCTGAGATTCTAGAGAACAAGATAGTAGCTTCAGAGGTGTGCCTTTACACCATATGAACACCAGCAGTTTCCAAATCTGGACTCAGCTCCTTCCTTTTGACCTCTGTTAGGTCAAACGAGCCAGTTATTGGAGGTCCACCCCTTACCCTGCATTTCAGTACTCAGGGCCAGTGTACTCAGTTGCCATATTAACGCACCATGCTTTAGCCTACACAACTATAAAAACACCTCATACGATTTTAATCATAAGCCTAGGTATGTGTAGCTATATGCATGAATGAAAGTTTATATAGATAGGAAGGGAGAACCCTTTTGGGTAGATCTGCCCCAGATATGACTGAACCACCCCTGTGTTTTTCATCAATAAAGAATTTCATTTTATGATTATATTAATATCAGTTACAGATTCACAATTGGTTTTCATGAACCTTTGTGGCATGTGTGTTGCAAAAAGCAAATGAAGAGCACAAACACAATCAGTGAAATTCTAGTTGAGCTTCTGAAAAGTTAAAAAGAATTACTTTCTCTTCTTTTCCCTGCTCTGAACCTACTAAGTACTGCAGTATTAATAGTTGATCTGCATCTTGAGCAAGTTTTATTTTTTTAATTAAAAAATAAAACCGTTTAAATTTTTAGTCCTAATTCAGAACAAAAACCTGAGAGGCAGGCAGGTGGGAAGTCTTCAAATGCACAGGAACTGAAATTAAATGTGAAACTGAATCAAGTTTGTAAAATCACAAGCCTGCAGAGTTAAACTGCTGAGGTCCATGCATCTATAGTTGTTGAAAAATAACAAAAGGCAAGTTCACTTGTGCTTCCTCAAAAAAAATACCTATTTTGGTTATTTTCTTTTCCTTAGGTCTTTACATGGCAATGATATTTCTGTTGTTCCTGAAGGAGCTTTTAATGATCTTTCAGCATTATCACATCTGTGAGTATTCAGTCATATATTTTTTACTTACATGTATGTGGACCTCCTGCCTGGATCAGCATTTCATGGAAAGACTTTTTTCTAGAGTAACATCTGGCTATTTTGCTCAGTTTTCTGTGTGCTACAAAGAGCGAAAGTGAATTGGAACCGTTGGAGTTTAGAGGAAAATACTGAATCTGATCCTTGCAAGAGAGGAGAGAGTATATTCCTGCATACAAGTGTACAAACATACCTGAGTTTGACATTGCTGAGCAGATGCAGTTTTTAAGTGTCTTTATATGTGGAGTCATCTGTTTTTGTTTTGCTGTAAGCAAGTAATGGTCCAGCTTTGTGCTCAGACGTATTCAGCCTCTGGGAATGTCACAGAAATTTGAAAGGGTATTGATTAATTTTGGTTTCATCCTTATTTACAATTCATTCAAATGCTGCTATCAGGATGACACATGTGCATGAAGACAGATGAAACTGGCACGGGGAACTGGAAAGGGAGTAGGAGATGGAGGTTATGAAAGAAGAGTGAAAGGAATTTCTTGTGTACATGTAAAGTAAAATGACAAAGTGGCTGCTTTCTCTTGTACTTTAACCATCCGAGTTTTTCTCTTCCCCTTCCATGATTCCAAGATGGCAGCTATAAGTATCTTTGGTCATGCTCTTTGGAAGCATTTTAAAAACATGTATGATCAAATAAATTTGACCCTCTCCTTACCCCCACCCCCATAAAAAGGTTGTTTGCCTGTTGTATTGCCAATCATGTTAGACTTGCCTATATTTTGATTTTTAAGTAGAGTAATTCCCCTCATCTCAGCTCTACCTGGTGGCATTTTTGTGCCATCTCGTGGTGACATAGCATCATGTCACTGTGTCTGCAGACAGAGCATACCTCTGCTTTTTTGGAGAGGTGACTGCTTTATGCACTCCAGCTGTTTTTCCCCTGGGTTCTAGGTAGGAGAAAGTTCTATCATATTCTTCCTCTTGTTCTTTTTCTAACAAGGGATATTTCTCTCCCTCAATCTGAAGCTGGAAGCATCACCTTTCTCTTGAGAAGGCAGAGAGCATTTTCCCTCTCTCATAGGTGGAGAACCATTTCCTCTTTTTCTCTGGAACAATAGGAGGGGGGGTACCTCTCGTATGTGTAACATGGGAGTAAGGAGAATAAAAGCATCTATAGAACTGGATCTATTTTTTTTTTTTTTTTTTTTTTACTGCTCCCCATGCCTGACTAAGTGAGTAAGTTCAGCAGGGTAAATCACAGAAGTCCTTCCTGCTTGGTCAGGCAGAATGAGAAGCATTTCTGCAATCTTCATTCTGTTCATGGTATTTGAGCCATGCTCTGATCATTTTTCCTGGGATCCTCTTACTTTCTCAGAAGGCCTAGTGGTGTGAGATCAGGATGTGGAACAGTCTCAAGGGCAGTGGAATACCGAAGGCATTTCCAGGACTGCCTATTGAAATGCTGGACGTGTGGCGGACTCATTTCTTTAAATCAGTGGCATAGCTTCATTTCATAGCAGCACAGTGGGAACCCTGGATACACTACTGTTATAAAGTGACACACTGTATATATCCTCTCCATTAGCCACAAAAGAGTGTGCTCCTGCCTAAGCGAGTTGTAAGAACATTTGTGCTCTCTGCTAGGAAAACCTTGACTGTTAAAGATGACACTTCATAAATTGAGTAATTCAGAAACTCTTTTAAAATATTTTAAACAATAAAATGTGCTCAAATTTCTTTATTACAAAAATTAAAATGTTAACATTTACATCCAGTTGAATTCAAGATAAATGCGCTTTCTATATGGCCCACTGAGGGGATAATGATTCAATGGAACTTGCTAAAAATGTTGCATTACTTCAGATTGTTAGTGGCAGAGTTCTGTCCTTCCCCAGGAGCAGGTCTTTTAGGCCTGCCTCTACTGACTGCTATCAATGCCATAAGCACTGAGCTTGCTCGGGGAATCTCCTTACATAATCATGAAGAGGAGATCTCTGATGAGATCAGTAACCATGGGTTTATATTCATTGGCAGAGCTCCAAAGAGAAAATAATAAATTGCAGTTTTGTGGGGAGAAAGGTAAAAGCAAATGATTTATGCAGGGCATGCAGCCATGAACTGGAAGAGGGAAGTATATTTCTTTTAATGGTTTCCCCCATTTTTTGCAGGGTGGCCTTAAGCCCCAGTTGAAGAGCCACTGGAGTGCAAGGGTTTTATTTCATCCTCTGGCTAACTTAACTTCCCATTACAAAATTTCTTCCACAGCTTCAGACGCTCTTTGTTAAACTCAAATACATTGACCATTTAAGTACAAAGGGTGATACTGATCTCATTAGCATCAGTTCTCCAAAATCCATATTAATGTAACTGAGAACAATGGCTAGCATTCTGGCAAAGTTTGTTGCTGAGTCCTAGTTTCAAAGCCAAGATCCAGGTAATCCATGTAGCGCATTTAGCTTTTAGGAGTTTTCTGCTGATTATAGATTTGTTTTTGTTATACAAAGCAAGCACATAAGACTGTTATGTTTTTTTCCCCCAGTGCTATTGGAGCAAATCCTCTGTACTGTGATTGTAACATGCAATGGTTATCCGATTGGGTAAAGTCAGAATACAAAGAACCTGGTATTGCACGTTGTGCTGGTCCTGGAGAAATGGCAGATAAACTACTTCTCACAACTCCATCTAAAAAATTTACTTGCCAAGGTACTGTTTTATGTTTCTTCTGATGTGGCAGTCAATTTTGAAATTTTACAGTGGAATAGTTGAATTGTGAAATGTGAAATTGTGAAATGATACTTTCTAAAGATATTCATTATAACGCCTTTACTGTTGGGTCCTTTGTCATGGGCAGGACCAAGGTGGATACTCCTCATACTCAAAGTTCTATAGCCATTGGTTCCAACAAAGAGCATCTCAACCTATGCAGCATAAATTCTTGTAAGTGTTCCAATTTCCAGTTCCTTTCTGACAAAAGTTGTAGAAGAAGCTTCTCTGGTTCACAGTTGAAATGCTGGACACATGGCAGACTTATTTCTTTAAATCAGTGGCATAGCTTCATTTCATAGCAGCACAGTGGGGAACCCTGGATACACTACTGTTATAAAGTGACACACTGTATATATCCTCTCCATGAGCCACAAAACAGTGTGCTCCTTCCTAAGCGAGTTGTAAGAACATTTGTGCTCTCTGCTAGGAAAACCTTGACGGTTAAAGAAGACACTTCATAAATTGAGTAATTCAGAAACTCTTTTAAAATATTTTAAACAATAAAATGTGCTCAAATTTCTTTATTACAAAAATTAAAATGTTAACAGTTACATCCAGCTGAATTCAAGATAAATGCGCTTTCTATAGGGCCTACTGCATTGTTACCTGTTGCAAACACTGTTATAACTCTTACCTTATTCATCAAAGAATATAGTTTCACTACTCTCTGGTGCTTCATTCTCAATATTTCCAGCAAAACTTGTAAACATTTCCATGATTATTCGGTTTGTGAGCCTTGCAGTTCCTATGATGCAGCACAAACTGCCAGACTGGATTAGACCCAGTATCCTGTCTCCAGCAGTGGCCAGCACCAGATGCTTCAGAGGGAGGTGCAAGAAACCTCACAGCACAGAAATGTGGGGTAGTTTCCCTCCATGATGGTCTTATCCTATTCCCTAATAGTTTAGAGTAAAGAGATTGTTTTAAGGTTTTATCTCCTCCCCGATACTCCTTTTGTTCACATTAACTATTATCACTCTGGATGTTGTTGTTATCCAGATAACAGTTCAGTCTTTTTTATGAATCTGACTAAGTTTGTGGTCTCTAAGGTGTTAGGCTATCCTAATTCTTGGCCCTTATGTGAAACAGGACTTGTGTTATTTTACATATTGGTCTTTCTTTCCCCACTTCTTTTCTTTTCTTTTCTTTTCTTTTCTTCTCTTTTCTTTTCTTAAACCTTTTAAATGTGTAGAGCACTTTTGCTGCTCCCCCTTGTCTCTAGATTCTTAAAGTTAAATACTTTGGATCACCCAATAAAAGGAATAAGAAATATGGGATTATTAAAGTGATCCTGCCTAAATTGATAACTCCTCCTGAGATGCTTAATAAATGTGAACTCAGTTTTTCCGTGCAAGGCTATTTTCTTGTGGTAGTGATTTAAGCTTACAGACTGAGTGAGCTCCAAGCTCTATTGACTGATTCACCTTTTAGCAAATTCTTCAAAGACATGGTGGTGCCTAAGATGCATCCTACATCCTTTCCTAAAATAGTTATAGAATTCTACCTTAGTTGATCATCAGGATGATTTTCTTTTTCCATTTTCCAGCATGCTCACCTCAGTGAGGCTCTTCTCCACAGTTGGGTGTCGGAAGGTCAACTAGGCTTTTAGTACATTAAAGCCATTAGAAATCTAACCTGTTTGTGTTGAGTTTTACACTAATTCATTAGGCTATTGTTCTAGTCTGACATGACTGTTGCTCTCAAGTCATGTCCAGGCTGGTTCCTTATGAGACAAATCTGCTGCCACAAACAAATCATCTAGGTCTGACTAGGAGATTTGGAAACCATCCTCTTGGATTTCTCTATACACATTTGCTAAGCATTATTTCTGACATGCTTATAACTAGACAGGACATGAGATGTGGTGTACTACTAGTACCACAAACACTCTTTCCAGGCTTTGTGTAGAGGGATAGGGTATGGGGGCGGATCTTTTTCTCTCCCCTCCTTTTACAGTTAATTTTGTCAGGTTTTTTTAATAATCTTTGCTTAAAATAGAAATACTTTAAAATGTATGGAGTGTCTTCTCTCACACACTCACTCTATATATCTAGATCTATTCATCTTTTTTTTTGCATCCGATGAAGTGAGCTGTCGCTCACGAAAGCTCATGCTCAAATAAATTGGTTAGTCTCTAAGGTGCCACAAGTACTCCTCATCTTTTAGTGTTACTGTTCAAGGTATACGCATCTTGCTTGTGTTTCTTCTGTTCCCTATTGCAGCTTTTTCTTTCTTCACCCCTTCATAGAAAATTTTCTGTAGCTGCTTTATCTCTCAGGAGTGGGGATCTGTTATGATGGGTGTCTTTAGAGAAGAAAGAATTACTTGCCTGCAACAGCCATTCTGTGAAGACACACATGATAACAGATCACCAGTCATCACCACCCTCCGCAGTGAGTTGAAGGCCCTGTAACACATTTTGTCTTTATTATTCAGGGTGTGGGTTTTTTTCCATTCATACATAAGTAATTTATCCTTCTGCATAGAATGCATCTGGCAGCAGGGACATTGGGAGGAACATGTGTGCTGTACAAGATGTCCCTGCTGGAACCAAGAATTTGGAACTTGGGAGTTCGGGGTTTCTGCTTTGGTCACATGTAGGTGCACAGACCCAAGAATGGTAATTTGTTATAATGTATGTATTCAGAGAACAAGAATTGCAGATAATTCCTTCTTATCAGTATTTGGGTTGCTATTGAAAGCAAAATGTATTGTTGAGGTTGGCTTATGTAACAGCTCGTTACTATCCAATGGAAAACAACTCTTCCAGTGAAAATCCCTTCTCAGTGGTAAACATTCACATAAATGACAGGTTTCAGAGGAACAGCCGTGTTAGTCTGTATTCGCAAAAAGAAAAGGAGTACTTGTGGCACCTTAGAGACTAACCAATTTATTTGAGCATGAGCTTTCGTGAGCTACAGCTCACTTCATCAGATGTTTACCGTGGAAACTGCAGCAGACTTTATATACACACAGAGAATATGTAAAGAGTTGTCACTTTGGATGGGCTAGCACCAGCAGGAGAGTGAATTTGTGTGGGGGGTGGAGGGTGAGAAAACCTGGATTTGTGCTGGAAATGGCCCACCTGTTGATCACTTTAGATAAGCTATTACCAGCAGGACAGTGGGGTGGGAGGAGGTATTGTTTCATATTCTCTGTGTGTATATAAAGTCTGCTGCAGTTTCCACGGTAAACATCTGATGAAGTGAGCTGTAGCTCACGAAAGCTCATGCTCAAATAAATTGGTTAGTCTCTAAGGTGCCACAAGTACTCCTTTTCTTTTATTCACATAAATGAATCTTTGGAAGCTGGTGAATTATTTTTGAAGTTATAGGGACCTCTCCTGATTACATTTTTCCTTAGTCTATTTTTTCCCTAGGATTTTTTTCTAGTTTTTATTTTTATACATACCTCTAACGGACTCTCAATCTTTTACTTTTGGCTTTTCACAATCCATGCCCTGCTTCTAGAGATTCCAGGGCCTTGTGGTTTTCTCACACCAGGTAAGGTTGTAAATAGCCCTTGAATGGTAATCTGGTTAAGACTAGACCTTCTGACCTTCCCTACATGTATCTCAAGCAGACTCCTTTCCTAAAACATGCATGTTTACTGTTTGTTTTCCCCCGCTCTTTTCTTGGATGAGTTTATGGGTGATTCTTTGTTATATGTTGTACAATATCACTATATAAATAACCTTGGTATCCTCTTCCAACACATTTCTCTGTGAGCTAATTTTGGTTTTGTTTATATTATTTTTCCTTTAAAAAGTGTCATATAGACTGTATGTATCTTACATGCTCGTTTTCTACATTATACAAAACCCCTTGGTATTTAACAGATTTATTTGGTAAGTAAAATATATACCCATGCTGTGGACTTTTATATAATGTACAATACTGAGCAGTAGCCTATGGGCCTGATTCTTCTTTACATGAAGCCCCCTTTACATTTGCAGAGGGGTGTGAAAGGGCATAGTGCAAATAAGAATCGGGTCCTAGAGCTACCCCTTTACTGCTGTTACGGGTTTACAAAGTAAACAAACATCTGAGAACTATTTAAACCATGTCAGCTAAGCAACAGAGTGTAGAAAGAGCTATCCTTTCTTTCTCTGTAGGTCTTGTCTAAGACATTCACATTATTTATCTTAACTAACCTTTGTTTTATTTCCATTTATCTCTACACACAGAGAGACTCTAAAGTGTTAGCTTATGTTTACATTAAGGTTTAATGTGGGCACAAAATATTTTTTAAAACAATGTTTTTTGAGCAAGAGTTGAATTAAAAGTATCTGAAACTTTTCCTTTTTTGTAACCCGATAGCTTTAAAAAGGTGAATCAAAATTTTCAGTTAGAAATAAGTATTTATAACGCAAAATCAGGCACAACTTTAATTACTGTCTCATTGGGACTTAGGCTTCTACGTGTCCAAGTCACTTTTGAAATTGTAAGTTAGGGCTTGTCCATATGGTGGAGTAATGCATTCTATGGGGGTGTGATTTATAAAGCACACTAATATGTTGTGAATTAATTGGTCTGTGTAAATCCTGCTGGTGTTCACCAAAGTTTCTCCAGTGTGCTTTAACATAATACTGTTTCAAACCAGCATGGTCTGTATGGAACAGTTAACACACAGTAAAGTGTATTTTAGAAATCAGACTCCCATAGAGTGCATTGCCCTGCTGTGTAGACAGGTCCTTAGGCTCCTAAATCAGTTAAGCACTTTTGAAAATGTACCCAAAATGAAAAGAGCAGTAAAGAGAGGAAACTGAGAACAGCATAAAGGAGGAGAACAGGAAGATATAAAAAAAAGAAAAAAAAGTGTAGCATCTGTTTCTGCTCCTATTGAATAAGCAGGAATAGGAGCAGGCTCTCTAGATGTGGCGTTAAAGGTGACAACTGGCTTTGATTTGTAATAGGCCTTTTGTAAATGAGATTTTATTTACTTTTTTTACTCACATGGCGTTTCTATCCTTTGAGCTGAATTCACATTATACAAGGAAAATTAGAATGTTGGATTCTGTCTAATTAGGGTAGGGTAAACTGACTTACATAAAACGAGCTGACAGAAATTTCACCAAAAGCTCAAAACACTTCTTGAGATAATTAAAAAATGGTATTTCTTCTTTTTCCTACACTGTGACACTACTGGCCTTTGTTGCTGTTTTGATATTTCTGATCCAACACTACAGATTACCAGAAACCTCCCAAAACAGCCTCTTCCCACAGGATTTCCATTTAGATTTTTAGATCAAAGAACTTCAGAGGAGAATCAAAATTATAGATACTATTTTTTTAAATTTTAAGATAACCAAAATTTTTGACAGTAAGATTTTGTTACATAAGCAGGAAAGGAGAGTGTGTCCGATATGTGGATATACAGCAGAGATGAGGAAGTAAAGATTAAGGGTTACAGCACAGTGTCATAAGTTACCAATTGCTTTTTTTCAGTACATCCCACTTTCTCCATATTTGCTTGATTTAACCATTGAGTCTTATGACATTCATTCAGGCAGGACTTTTAAGATAATTTTATGACATTTGTTTCAACTTGCATAGCTCTGTTGTTTGTCTCTTTAACAGGAACTTTAATTAGTTTTACACTTCTTGTTTGAAATAAGTTGATGACACAAGAATGGTCAGTGATACGTATACAGTTTGTGTCACCAGTAATAAACACCACCTCCTTACTGTAGCTTAGTGCATTTTTATTTCTTTACATTGTCATACAAGCTCTGACACAGAAGCACACCAATGCCAGCCGTTTTGAAAGTAAACTTTTGTCAGCTTCTTCTATGCTAGAACACTCTACAATATCTTTATGATGGCATAGCTTTTCAGCTCCTTTCCATAATTATTTTCTTCAATATAACAAAACCTCCCTATTTAACTCCCAAAATAAAATGTTTTATTCCAGTGTACTATTTTAAATGATAAAATTATCCAGCCTAATGCCCAAAGTCATCTGTGAAGTGTCTTTGATTCGCTGGCAAAGCTGTTGTTGATATTAGATTTTTTTTTTTTCACATGAAAAGTCTCTTTCCATTTTAGGTGATTTTCTGCCCACCAAATTTTCCTTTAATGTTGACATAGCCCAAGAGCACCCACAAAGATGTGTGTTCAGCTCTGCATCTGGGTAACCAATCCTGCATTACACCAAGGATAGAAGGCTTCCATATCACATGCCAGAAGGGTCAGCACCAAAAGGCAGATTTAAATAATTCTCCTGGCCTGGACCCCAGCCAGTGTCTCTTCCTGATAGTTTCAGTGTGTAGCCATGGCATTACTCAATGAAAGTTACTTATGCAGGATGTTTATTGCAAATAGCAACAGGTTGAAGATTAGCAAATGAAAGTTGTGTAAAATAATATTGGGAAGGAGCAGTCACATGTCAACTGGCCTTCTTTTTTGCAAGGCACCATCGATGTTTCAGAGAATTTAAAAAAAAAAAAGTTTCTTTTTCAGGCTGCTACACCCAAGCAAGAAAAGATTACTTTTTACCTATAACAAAGCAGCTGAATATACCTGTCCCTCAGCTGACTAAAGAAATAGGAAAAGACAAGGTGTTTTTGGCTTCCTACCCGATTGAGATGTAGAGTATTTTACAATTTTCAGCTTTCCTTTGCTTATTTGTGACTTTCAGAATAACACAATATTCTTATTTTCAGCTTTAATTTTTTTTTACCCTTTGTGTAGGATTACAAAGGAAATAAGATAAATGCAAGCCTCGACTTTGCAATTGCAAAACTAAACATACAAGCACTGAACCAGCTTGCCCATTTATAAAACTGCTTATTAAACAATACTCCTCATTATAAACCTCTGCTTCATAATAACTATTTACAGTTCAAGAGCACACAGTAATCCAACCTCTCCATAGGAAAACACATAAAATAATGCAGTAAACCAGCCTTAGGTTTGAACAGCCACATGTAAACTTAATAACATAGGAACCTCAAAAGTTTTGATGTTTAGTTTAGATTAACATCAAAACATGGAGGGCCCCCTATGGCTCTCCATCCCCATGCAGTCCTCCTCATCTCACGTAGACTCTGTGACAGACTCTTCTTTACCTACTGTTGTTAACTTGGATAGTGAGGAGAGTGGGCCAATGATTGGCTACACTTATCAGGCATTCTTAATAAATGACAGACTCAGTTGCCATTCTGTTCTCTTTTGGTCCCATCTCCCACATGGGCCTACAAAGACAAACCATGGGTTAGGCTCTGCTAATTGGACATCATGAAGAAATAGCATGTGACTTCAATCATGTAACAAAAATCCAGTCTACCCAACTCATAACTAGAAAATGAACCATGGGGAAAATGTGTTCTGAAATTTTCGGGCTCCCAGTTAATTGGTTAAATAATTTCTGCCCGATTTAGATGAAATTTTTTCCACACAAAAAAAGTTACAAGAAAAGGTACATTTTTGCAGACGCTCCAAAAATTCAAAAAGGGCAACTGTGAAGTATTTTAATATTATAGGGAGTACACAACAAAGTTCTCAGCTGATTTACATTCCGAAACCTCAGACTTCATAAGTATTAGTTGCTCAATTCTGTTGCCACAATCAATTAGGGTGAGGACTTGAATACACAAACTAACAAACAGTGCTCACCTGTATTGCAGGGAAGGTGAACAGAAGCATGGACACCAGCCCCAATCTGAGTCAGTAGGTGTATGCATGTGGTGACAGTGCAGTCACATTGCTTGTAGGCTCACCACATGCATGAGTATCCACAGTCTCAAGTTGCACAAGGACATGGCTTTCTGTAGAGGAGGGTTAGAATAGAGGGATGTTCACTTGGAGGCTTCATGGAGGTTAAGGTGGTAACATCATTCTATGACCGACCTCTGCGCTGTAGTCCCATGATACCTCTGTGCTCATGCAACCGGTGATAATTTCACTTGCTGAGCTAGCCCATAGATCCTCCAGGTGGACAGTTGATATGGTTTAAATCAAAATGAAAAACAGCACAAAACACTGTTTTCTGTAACACCACTAAGGACAAGCCTGAAAACTGTGACATTCTGGTTTTCAGAGCCAAATGAATGGTGACTGTGTTGTTCATTTTCTTCAGAACACAGTAGGGTGCGAGGATGGTAGATACAGATGATTTATTTATTTTTAGACTTGAGGAGAGAGGAGGAGGAAATAGTTCAGTGGATTTTTTTTCCCTTACTGTTGGAAAATGAAGGATGAAGGCCAAATATTTTCAGTCTTGATTTAAAAAAAAAAGTGTTAAGGCTAGTCCTGCATATGGAATATGCCGAAATACCAGGATAAGTAGAAAATAAGCAAATTAACACAAGTGTATTGTCAAAAATAAATAAATGATGAGAGATGTTAGTTTCTGACTATCAAATTTGTATTTCGTTTAAGGGCCTGTGGATGTTAATATACTTGCCAAATGTAGTCCCTGCTTATCAAATCCATGTAAAAATGATGGCACTTGTAATAGTGATCCTGTTGACTTCTACAGATGTACCTGCCCATATGGTTTCAAGGTATGTACTGGGTGGTGAGAAGAGAGTTGAAGAAAATGTAAGCTTCATCATTTGCCCCACTCATGAAAAGTCTCTTTTGGCTCTCTTCCACCAGTCTTTTTTGTTTTATTTTATCTTGTCGTTCTGTCTGCAGGGCCAGGACTGTGATATTCCAATTCATGCCTGCATCAGTAATCCTTGCCAGCATGGTGGAACTTGCCATTTAAAAGAAGGAGAAAAAGATGGATTTTGGTAGGGGTTTTTTAAATCAATAAAAACAAAAGAAAAGTCTACTGAGATTGAACTGCTTGTTAAGGAAAACTAAAATCTTTTGGCTGTTAATCTTTGGCTCCTAGAGAGTAATGAGGAGAGGAGATGTTTGTTGATAAACCACAGCAGTAGTCTTTCAGGGCTTCTGGAGTATTAGGAAAAAATTCTGTCCTTAGAAAGCTTAAAGTGCTTTAAAACTGTTTTAAAAAAATGTGATTAGTCAAGGCATATCAGGGCAAGACAACATAGTATTGACTCCATTATGTTAATTAATAGCTAGCTAGATCCCTGCTGAAAAAGTCTCACAATTCAGCTGTTGTTGTGTATATTACTTCAACAGACAGCATGTAAATGATAAGTTGTAAATCCCAGTGAAACAGAAAATTAATGATTCATTCCAAACCACTATGCCAGTAGATAAACATGCTGTGAGCATTTTTAATCTTGTTATTTAATCACACAGTACAATTACTCCAGATGTACTTCATGAATTATGAAATATAGTTCTTTATTAAATGACTAATAATTTCACATTAGAATGCTAATCTACTCCTCAAGCTTGTTAGAAATGCCACTTTAAAAAGAAACACTCTTTATTCTGCAATTCATTAAGAAATTATCCTTATTTATATATCCAAATTCTGTTTCAAGATTAGACTCTTTCCAATTAAAAATTAACTCTATACATTTTAATATCATGCCATAGTCATGTTTTAATAAGAATCTAAAGGGACACAGTCACAGTTTGAAACCTCATAATTTGACCTATCTTTCTTCTTTTTTAATATTGTGTGCGTTTTCAAAAGTCCAATTAACAACATAATCACAGTTACGGGTGCAATATAAATATAATAGATACACTGAATTATATCAAAATATGTGTCAAGTATATAGATAGATTGATATAATATATAGATATTAATATTATATTTTTATTTATTATTTGTTTTTAATATGCTACGTGCTGTGAAAACATGCATAAATGAAGGTACAATCTCTGCCTTGAAGAGTTTACAGTCTTTACATAATAAATAAATCATCATTATATTACATTCATGTATATTGTATATTAGACTCTGCTCCTGCAAACATTTATATGAGTAAAGTTAAGCATATGCATAATCTTTCCAAGATAAAGGCCTTCTATGTATTAATATATTATAACACTTTGGTGATATTTTGTATGTTTTAAAAAATCAGTTTTAGAGATCAGCACTCATAAGCAGTCCTATAATATAAAGGTAGCATGCATTCAATAGAAGAACATAAATGGGGAAGGAAACATTTAGTTTTGAAATGCAAGGATAGGTCTATAATTAAAATTATTTTCTGAAAAATACTGGCAGTGTTATAAAATTTAAAAAAAACTGTAGAACTCTTACAAATGATATAGAACTTAATAACTAATGTTATAATTGTGTGTTTAGTTCTCTGATTCATCATAAGCAAGTATATTTTCTGTATTACAGGTGCACTTGTGCAGATGGATTTGAAGGCGAAAACTGTGAAGTGAATGTTGATGACTGCGAAGATAATGATTGTGAAAATAATTCTACCTGTGTAGATGGAATTAACAACTACACTTGCCTTTGCCCACCTGAATATACTGGTAGGAATATGAGGAAAAACGCAGGCAATTTAACACTGATTGTAAATTAATAGCATTATGCTTTAAAGTTTGTGATTGAATCCTGGCTCCACTGAGGTCAATGGAAGTTTTGCCATTGACTACTGTGGGGTCAGGTTTTCACCCTGTGACTCTTTTATTTGGTTTATTTGGTCAAATGTATAATTACAAACAAAAAACACACACCAAACAACACACCACACTGCACCAATGCACTCTTGATGTTCATTCATTGATTTTTTTAAATTAACAAATAACATTTTGAAAGTTAAAAATTATGAACATTTTGTTTTAATTTAAAAGAGAAAATTGTCTTCGCCAGCACTAAGGTCCAGCTAAGCCCCGGGGAGGACAGTCAAGGAAAAAAGTAGGAGCTGTACAGATCTAAGGTCAACCCTTATGGTTTCCTTCCTCCACCGCCACAAAATATTAACTGAGCACAGGGCTCACACCTTGCCAGAACAGAACAGTGGTTGTGGCAAGACCTCCCTCTGCACAAAAGCATAGTGGTGACAAGGGAATATAATCTTATCTCCCTCTGTTCTCAGCCCCAGTGCGCATGCTCATGCACACATGTGCTCCCCAGTAATTTTTTTCTTGTAGTTGTTTACCTGTCAGTGTCAGTTGCAGGCCAGGTATAAACCATTCCTTTCTCATATAAAGCGTGGTTACTCCAGTTTTATTGCTGTAGTAACTCTTATAGACTCTGTGGCCTCAGCTGGAAAGTGGGAATGGAAGATCCTGAAAATCAGGAACTTTAGAGAACAGGAAGCAGGGTATTTTATTTATTAAGATGCATTCACTGTGTGTCAGTAAATTGCTAAGTGCATATATAGCTTAAATACATAACTCATAATCAAACACACAAAGTATTTAAAGAACTGTCCTGACGCCGGAATAAACTCCACTCGATCGTCCTATCCCATAATCACAGTTGGTCTCCCTGCCCCTAGGAAAACACACGAGAAAACAGGTGAGTCTTGCAGCATGCTGTAAAAAGCACTAAATCTGGGCTCTGGTGGATGGCCAAAGAGGGAAGTGAATTCCAGAAAACAAGGTCCTCATCAAGAACACAACCACCAACATTCTTCCGTTTAAGCCAGGGCAATATTAACTTGAATGCCACACCCCCACTAAGTGCCCATACCTTTAGGCTTTAAAACTTAAAGCCAAAACCTTAAATCTGCATCCTGGAAATCAATTGACAACATGTGCAGGTCACAGAACTCAGGGAAATGTGTTTTGTACAAGGAATACCACTTACAAGTCATTTAACTGCATTCATACACTATCTGCAATTTCCAAATGATTTGGTGATGTAGCTCCATGCAGAGTGAATTACAATAACTGAAATAGGAAAGGTATGAATAAGTATGGTGAGGTCCACATCTAAAAGAAAAGGACACAATGTTCTGTTAAGTACAGATGACAGAACACACTTTTGCCATTTGCTACTAACAGTATATCTAGGAGCAACTGACGATTCAAGAGAATCCCTAGCTGTAAGTCTTAGAAATGAATGGTAGCCAAACCCCAGCCCGAATAAAGGTGCATATATAATATCTGGCATTTTTCCTGTAATCCTTATATCAGTTTTATGTGAGCTGAGTCTCAGCCAGCTAGCTGTCAGCAATTTCAAAATCTCCATTAGCCACTAGGTAAGTCATTCCACTGCACAAGCAGATTGGAAGAGATGGAAGTATAGAGCTAGGTGTCATTAGCTAACCATTTTCTGCATTAGCTCTTTTGAGGTTTTGTGTATCCATGGAAAAGGTTAAGTCCTCATCTGCATGAGCTTTTAGCCCTAGTAACTTCGTAGTGTGTTACCAGAGTTTTGGTTTGTTTTTGTTTTATGGCTTTTGTCTCAGACTGTCTTTTCTCCAGATACGTTAGACTACTCCAGTCCTGTCTGCTGAGACACGAACGTCACAGGGCCATAACTATTTTATGAACATCTTTAGAGTTAATTATGTAATAGCATAAAATTATTAAGCATATTTTTATACAGTTTCTGTCCTGCTTTGCTTTTTAAGTGTCTCTGCCTATACGTGGTTAGGGAAATGTAATGTAACAACTTGGGAAGTGAGAAATCTTGGTAATGTGTTTTTATTTTAATTTGCTGTTGCAGTTGTTTGTTTTTTAGTCTGGTGGCAAAACACCAGAAAACAGTATTGTAACTTTAAAAACAAACCAAAAAAGCTGACTTGTCCTTGGGGAAATGTCAGGTAATTACATTTCTGTGGAGGGCAGCATTCTGTCCTTGGACAGAATAGCTCTAAGAAGAAAAATTCATCCTGGTTTCTCTAAATCAAAACTTTGATTTGGTTTTCTTGTTGCTTTAAGTCTAGTTTAAAAAAGAAAATAACTTGAACTCTTAAAAACAATTAACTCTGTTTTCAGAGGTGTACTGTGTATTCACAATTCCTGTTGATGTCATTGTAGTCAGTGGGAACTGTATGTTCTCAACATCTCTGAAAATAAGGCCAAACAGTTTTATAAGCTCTGTACTATTAATTGTATGGTCTTTAGAGATTATGGTCAAGATTTTAAAATACTTCAATACCTCTCAGGTTTTCCTCATCCTGTCCCTCCCCCTCTCTCCCCCCCACGAAAATACTTTCTAAATATATATGGCCAGATTTGCCTGGTGTATATAACTCTATACACCATAAAATCAGCTACTGTGATTTCACCCAGTGTACAATGACTTCACATCCTGCCTTAACTGACCCTGCAGTCTCAAATAAATAAATAAATAAGCCTATCATGTTATAATTTTAACTTTGTACAGCTAACAAACCATGTCAAGATCTGAGAATGGGGAAACAGTAGTGTACAGAGTATAAAACAATGTTACAATTGGTTAAAGGTCACAAATTGTTTTTATGATATTTTGTTCTCTGTCTGATTCAAAGGTAAGTAACTAAATCTCAGTCTAAGTAACTCAATCTGCATGAAGAACTTTATAAATTTCACATGTAGCAATCTCTACATACTGCAGTCCATTGTCTCCCACAATTCTGGATATCTGGGCTGCTCTCCTCTCTCTGCAGCTTCACAGAAGCAGATCAGTGTTTGGCATTGCACTCTCTGGCCATGCTTCCCCCCTTTTACCTCCCCACCCTTCGCTTCAGCTTGCCACCATATTCTCTGTGACAGCAGACAGTGGCAGTTTTTGTAGCTCACACCCTCACTCTTCTGTTTTTTATCTTTTTCTGCCTACTTTTTGGGCAGTGGGTAGCAGTGCTCTTCCTTGCCGCATTCCTCCTCCTCCCTTAGTTGGTTAGTCCCTCAGGGATTTAACCTTCCCTGAGTCTCTACTTCAGCATCTTCCTGCTAGCTCCTCTTCCCCTGTACAGGCAAATCAGAACAGCCAAGAAAACATTGGGTCAAACTGAAGCACTGCGAGGCAGCTTTTCCAGGCTTGGCAGACAGTAAGTTGTGCCCAGTCTGTACTCAGACAACCAACTCTAAATCTGTTAGGTCCTGGTGCTATCAGTCAGACAGGCAGATCAGGTTCGCTACCCACCCAGGCAGACGCAACTCCAATGGAGGAAAATGGACCAGGACTCCCAGCAGGGTGAGGCTCCAAAAGTGATGAGGACCTTGACTGCTCAACTTGGGGGTAAGTCCCAGGGAACTCTTGCAGAACAAAGTGGGGAGGCTTGTAGGGCCAAAAGTCCTCCTCCCTCCCTCCCCCCCATCTAAAAGTGAGTTCTGAGTGCCCTGGAGAAAGAAGCAGGGCCTCTAATTAAACTCCTTTCCTCACAAGCCAACCAGGAGAGGTTGGACAAGAAGTCCCCCATCCTGCTGGGGAATGGGACTCAGCAGGGGAGGATTCTGAATCAAACTTCTTGTGAGGGCTTCAGACCCTAAGGAAGGCTAGCTGCAAAAGGCCTCACCAAAGCCACAGCAGAGCTATTACATCCTGAAACAAGCTAAACAAGTTAAAAAATGTAAACAGGCAAAAAACAGAAAGAAAAATCACACAAAAAACCAAGAAATACAAGTCCTATGTCGTCTTTTCCTCCTTATCCTCTTTCTGCTCCTCCACTAGGGAAGGTGAGCGGTCTGGCTCTGAATCCAAACAGGAATCGGGGGGAAAATAGAGCAAAGATTTTTCGTGGTTTTTTTTTAAGAAATGTAAAGCTACATGCATCAAGGCTGTTCCATGATTCAGACCCAACCTGAGCAGTCTCATCAGAGTAAGCCTTAGAGTAAATTTCTTGTCTCAAAAGCCTTTCCCGAGGCAGCAATACTTCTTTGTTCTTCCTTCGAGGAAGTGATTAGGGATGAATGGAACAAGCCTGATAAGGACAAGCTCATTAACAAGAGCAACCTCGGGCTCTATAACTAACATTCAAGAACCTAAGGGATCTATTGATGGCTCTGTAGCATCCCTTCCCTGGGATGATTAGCCCCTCTGAAGGGGCGTTTTACCCCAAGGATTCTACGGATAGAAAGATGGAGGCCATTCTCAAAAAAGACTTAGAAGCATCCTCCGCCACACTCTGAGCATCCTAGCAGCTACCTGCTTTGCAAGATCCCAAAGCCCTTAAGGACAGAGATCGTCCTGACTTTGGTTCCATTTTAAAGCAAGTCTCCCAAGCAGCAGCATTTGTAGCTAACACCTCAATGGATGCAATGAGCTTCTCAGCCCGTGCCATGGCCTCTGTCAAACACTGTTTATGTCTCCATCTCCAGACAGTTGATACTCTAAGCTAGTTCTTTGCACTGCCAAATTTACATGGTCTCTCCTTTTTGGAGAAAATCTGGGGAAGGTGGTGGCTGATTGTAGCAAAATCCAAACAATCTCTCCCTTCCTCACTAAGTGCCCCCAGAAGAGAGTTTAGACTGGCTTTCAGACAGAGGCACTCCTTTTGCCCCTCATCCTCACTCAGGTAACATCAAAGGGACAATAGATTCTCCAAGGGAAAACAGCAAAATTGAGGTCCAGGGGGAAAGCTTAGAGGGATCTCAGCACTTCAAACTTATTGTTCAGACATTTGGTTTCTCTTCAACCAACCCATTCACGAATCCTAGGAATACAAAGAGATCAAAATACTTCACAAGGGAGGCAGACCCTTATGCCCTGGGGACAGATGCCCTGTTGCATAGTTGGCTGCAGGGCCTACTATGTGCATTTCCACCCTTCCCACTACTGGGGAAGGTGGTCCAGAAAATAAAATGAGAACAGGCGATGGTAATTCTTATAATTCCTCATTGGCCAAGGAGACCTTGATTCTCAGACCTCATTTAACTGTAACTCCCACACCAGCTTTCGTGGAGAGTGGACATCCTCTCTTCATCTAGACTCAAAATGACTTCAATTAACAGCAAGGCTATTGAAAGGGAGGCACTGGAAGGTCTCAGTCTGCCCTCCAGAGTCATTAAGGCATTGCTTTTGGCGAGAAGACTATAAAAATACTCCTCTGTCTGGTCAGATTCTACAAGTGCTCAGTATAATGCATATCCTGGAAATCCTGGAATCCTAACCATTCTATACTTCCTCCAGAAAGGCGTAGAAAGAGGCCTTTAGCCCTGTACCATTGTATGTCAGGTTTCCGCTCTTAAGAACGTGCTTATTCTCAGGATCCTCTGGCTATCTGGCAGAAAATTCACAGGTAGCAAGATTCCTTCAAGTAGTCCAATTAGCCAGATTAGCGGTCAAATCACTTTCCAGAATGGAACCCACCTCTGGTTTTGAGGACTGGCAAGCCATCTCTTTGAGCCTTTGACTTCACTGTTGGCCTTTTATTTATCTGTTAAGACTTGTTTCTTAGTAGCTATCCAAGCTTAGATATCAGAAGAGCCTTGAAAGTCTATCTCAAACATATAGAATCCGTGTCCTTGCACACAAAATGCCAGGACTTAGAGTTTTCAAGTGCTCCATCATCTGGCAGATTAGACTATGTATTGTGGATTGTTATACATCATCAGTGTTTTCCTATACCAGAAGGCATCAAGGCACAATCCACGAGATTCTTAGCAACCTCATGGCGGAATGAGCAAGTGCATCCACTCTGGAAATTTGCAAAGCGACCACTTGGTCTATAGCTAATATCTTCATTAAGCACTACAAGGTAGACTTTCTATCAGAAGGGTCTGCAGATGGTGGTCTAGAATAATATGGACCTTTGAGTGAGCTCACAAAAAGGTGGGTACTTCTTTTCTACCAACCTCTTCTTTCATAACCATCCCTATATCTGATCACTGCTCGCTACTTTCCAGACATCCAGGATTGTGGGAGATGCTGGGCTGCAGAATGGAAATTTTCTTACCAATAATTTCCTTTCTGCAAGCAGAATTCTATGAACCCTAGATGGCTCATGAGCCAAGGGTCAGCCGTTAAGTAGAATCATTACTGTAGGACAATCCTTGCTGATCTAATGTACATAGTTGTTTCATTATCTCTGGAATATTTGTCAATAATGAGGCTATGCAGATTTCATAGTTTGGGAATAACTCATCTGGTGGCAAGTGGAAGCAGAGAAGGCCTGGCCAGAGACTGGTTCACCTCTGTGAAGTTGCAGAGAGAGGAGACCAGCCCAGATGTCCAGAATTAGAATTCTGGGAGATACTGCTTGCTTAATAGAAACAGTATCGTAATTTTTTTTAAAGGGAAAAAAACTATTAACAATGTTTCAGGTGTATTTAAAATATTTCTCAGCAGTGTTTGCAACTCAGGCCTTCCAGCATTCTTCTAATGTGTGAGAACTGAAAATTGAAATTGACTATAAATAAAAGTGAAACTGACTAATCTGGTTTTATTTGTCCTCACTGGGTAAAATGCCATAGATAACCAGAGTATAAACAGTGACAAGTGAACATCATTTCATTCACATTATTTGTATTTTAGTCATCTAAACCATCATTAACACAGAAAAATATATTTCTTAAAAATATTTTGATAGTGTTCCATTAATCAGAACTAGCCGTAAAATCAATTGAAGTGAACAGTTACAGGAATCTAGGGCCAGATCTTCAACTGGTGTAATATGCCCTAGATCACCATTGACTTCAGTGGAGTTACACTGATTTACACCACTTTTTTAAAGCTTAATTCCTTTCTTCTCTAAGACTTAATTAGTAGTTTGGATTATATTTTTCCAATTAGATTCTTGTGGTTCTTGTTCTGTTCTATTAATTCTTGGATCTGTCCGTGTTGAAGATTCATGGTGCATGGCAACTGAATGTGGACTTGCACCATGCCAGAATATTTTTTAAGTGAATGGCTGTCTGTAAATGCAGTTTAATATTTCTACACAGGATAAGGAAAATGTTCAGAGTTTGGCAATCTAAAATGTAAATTGTTCATGCTTGAGTTTATTTTTTGGGATGGTAGGCATGTAGGATCTCAAGATTATCTCTGAAACAGCAGTTTCCTGTATAGGTAAACTTTCAAAATACTGTGAAGGGTATTCTATCTCAAAACCTGTCAATGTGTGCATGTCTCCTGCCACATTTTGAAAATTGTTGTCTAACAGTTGTCACAGAATTGAAAAATGTGGCTTGTGGCTTTCTTAATAGTCAGAATTCCATATCTGCCAAGTTAAGATTGTGCTTTGCAGTTAACACTATCATCACAGTGTCAAAGACAAGTATGGTATGTGTGTTGGACTGTAAACATTCGTAAGATGTAACTATGAAACCCACAGTAAGCACACAGGATCAGAAGAGACCTGGAGTTGCTGGTGAATAACGTGTAAAGTTGCTCACATTATGTCCTGCACTCTTTAACTTTGCCTTGCTCTCTTAATTATCATCTCATTTTTTATCCTCAAATCTAATGAATGTCAGGTCATTACATGTACATACTAGAAATTAAAATGGATCATTTCTCTTGTTCATTACCATGTCATTAGAACACATATCTCCTTGGTCTAGCAGTGCAACTCTTTCTATGCCAGCAGTAGCACATACTTCTTACTTTTCTTGTTTGTTTTGTTCTGCTGTAGGTAAAAATTTGAAGCTTGCTTCACTTTGCTATGCAAACCTCTCTGCTGCTATAGTTGTGCATTAGCTTAATGTGCTGTTGTATTACAATGTAAAAAGTCTCTTGTCTCTTCTGTCTTTGTCACTGCAAGCTGCTAATCTGAATGAAGTGGAAAAAGGTCAGTTGTCTTTTAAGCCTATTTTCACTTACCTTGGTTTCTTGCTTTTCTTTTCTTTAAAGGTGCATGGATTTAAGTGTATGCACGTGATCAGAGAAATGATATAGTTAACATTTAGCAAGCTTACCCTAAATCCTCAGATCGGGCATTTTACTGTTTGTCCATACATGTCAAATGAATGCTATTAAAGGTAAAAATACAGCTCTTGCACGGAAGACAGTGATACAAAAACAGACCATTAACACTGTATACATTCTTTTTAAAATATACTAAAACTTACCTTATGCATCCTCACTGGTGACCAATAAAAATGGCTTGCTTTACAGAGATGGTCTCCTAATAAAGCTTGCACCCAACCCAAGTAAGACATACTTTGGTTCAGTTCTAATGCTTTCTAGATTCTAAAATACCCATTAAATTTTCTTATATGAATTGTCCTGCTAGACATTAGGTTGTGATGTCCTCCTGTTTATCATTGTAGTGACCAAGTGTTACACCATATACTGCACCTGAAAAATCACACAGTGATAAGAGGCTGTGCAACAGAGAAAGTTAATAGAGATATATGCAGCCTTAATTTTGAGTAACCTTGTTTTGGGTTTCTGTCAAAACATTAATGTCACTAAAACACAAGGTTGATTTAAACCAGTAATGGAAGAGATTCTGATCAATCATTTTGAATTACATCAGTTCCTAGCACTGGTATTTCATGATTAATTTTAAGTAGCTGAAGGATATGCCTGTTTTTCCTCCTCCTCATTTCCTGTCCTCTTTCCATCTCTTCCCCCAAACAATCTGCCCCATCACAGAAAATCCTCCTTTAGAGAGGTGAAGGGTGGACTGAGTTTGTTAGTGCCATTCTTTGAATGGGTGGGAATGGGTCACTGAAATACAACATAAGATACTCCTGAGGGTTCTGTTTGCTGCTCAGAACCACACTCAGATCCTGAACCAGGAGTGGGCAAACTACAGCCCGGAGGCTGCATCTGTCCCTCCAGATGTTTTAATCTGGCCCTCTAGCTCACACTGGGGAGCTGGGTCTCGGGCTTGCCCCACTCTGCGTGGCTCCCAGAAGCAGTGGCATGTTCCCCCCTCTGGCTCCTATGCATAGGGACAGCCAGGGGGCTCCACACACTGCCCCTTCCCCAAGCACCACCCCCACACCTCCCATTGGCCAGGAACTGCAGCCAATGGGAGCTGCAGGGGCGGCATCTGCAGACAGGGCAGTGTGCAGCGCTGCCTGGCCGCACCTCCTCATAGGAGCCGGAGTGGGGGGACATGCCGCTGCTTCTGGGAACTGCTTGAGGTAAGTGCCACCCAGAGCTTGCCCCCCTTCTGCACCCCAATCCCCTGCCCCAGTCCTGATATCCCTCCTGCCCTCTGAACCCTCGGTCCCACCCTGGCGCATCCTCCTGCACCCCAAACCCCTTATCCCCAGCCCTACCCCAGAGCCCTCCCCCCCCACACCCCAGCCCGGAGCCCACTCCCGCATCCTGAACTCCTCATTTCTTGCCCCACTCCAGAGCCCGCACCCCCAGCCAGAGCCCTCATCCCCTCCCACACCGCAACCCCCAATTTTGTGAGCATTCATGGCCTGCCATACAATTTCCATACCCAGATGTGTCCCTCGGGCCAAAAAGTTTGCCCACCCATCCTAAACTCTCACCCTCATAAGGTAGCTCATTGCTCTGTGACCACCCTGCCAGGCTGGTGTACAATTGGTTTATTTTATTATGACTGTTAGTGTGCATATCATTAGGAAAGCTAGCTACCATTCAAACACAACACCACTATTTAAAAATAAATTCATCATCTTATTTTTAATGGTGAAACCAAACCGCACTGAAAAACCAAACCAAAACCAAACTGCACTGACTACTGAACTAGCCCATGTAATTTTTAAAATGAAATTTGCTTTATAAGTGTGCAAAGTACCTTTGTCACACTCACTGAATTCTTGCAGTATAAAGTATAAATTATCTGAATTTTCTTTCAGAACTTTAAAAATATCAAAATGTGAATTTTTTGTGTCCATGAAGAACATTGTTTAAAATGGAGTATAAACTGTAGCTGTGCTACTGTGCACACACGCTTCCCAATTCAAGCTTGAATGGGTATCCCCCTTGTATAATTATGTCTACTCATTGAAATACCTGTTTTATAGGAGATTAAAAAGAGAAAACATAATCCGAAAAAAGGTGGTAGTTATTGGATATGTGTGAAACAAGTGAAAAACATAATATATTGTAATTACTGTAACCCACACAATCAAATTATTAAAAAGCTCAGGGGAGGTAAACTAGGATTCAAAGACAAAATTAAGCAGGTGTACAGAAATGTGATGCACATTTTATGCTAGTTAGTTTACTAGTGTATATGAAATTGCATTTAGCTGATCATAAATTACTAGCAGTAGAAGTCTGTTTGTTTATTGCAGAGGCCTTTATGTCTTAATTGTTAATTCGGTAAGAAAAAGAGGAATAATAGAAATCAACTATTAACTCAGTTTAATGAAGTACTACACCAACCAATTATATAACCTGATTTAAACATTTCCAAAAATACAGTATTTACACAGTCCTAGTGGCTAACGAGTAAAAACGTAAATGCATCTAATGCACTTGGGCACCAGTTAAGTATGGTACTTAAGCACATGCCTGACTTTAAGCACCTAGGTAGTCCAATTTAAGTGAGAGCCATATCCGTTTAAGTCATGTGCCTAAGTACCCTGCTGAATCAAGGCCTTGGTATTGTGACTTATGAGAGTTCAAAGAGAAATACTTTTATTACTCTCACCCTGGGTTGCTCCTAATAAAATATTCCATTTAATGTAACTAGTTTATCTCAAGCGATTGTAAATTATTATTAGAGCACTGTGATCGTTCCACTAGTTATGATGCATTTCCACTCACGATTAAAAGCCGAATCCTGAGAATGTACACAATCCTTGATAACGTGATTAGATTCATTGATTTCATTGGGACTACTCCCAGGAGTACTGTTTGGTATCATCAGGCTATAATTCACTATTTTTCTGCATGATGTTATATTGTTTTTAAAATACTTATTGCACAATCCTTACCTGCCAATACCTATTATTGCTTTATTGTTATTATCACATTAAACAGCATAATAAGTAAGGTCTCAGTCTTGCACTGGGGATCCACTAGCATGGGATGTAAATGAATGGAATTCCACTGGCATAAAATTCGAATAATGCAGAGGTGAAGCAGAGCCAGAAGTTATATTTAAAATAATTTTGACAGTCTGATTTTCAGTGGTTTGCAATGGGACTTTAACACTCTGAGTTGAAATCTGCTTCCTAATGCCACTGAGAATTTTGTTCTTTAATGTTAGTTAAAACAACTTAAAACTTTGATCTTTTGTTTTAATTGGCGTGGTGGTTACAATTTCATTTAGATTACAAAAAGAAAAGGAGTACTTGTGGCACCTTAGAGACTAACCAATTTATTTGAGCATAAGCTTTCGTGAGCTACAGCTCACTTCATCGGATGCATACAGTGGAAAATATAGTGGGGAGATTTTATATACACAGAGAACATGAAACAATGGGTGTTACCGTACAGACTGTATCAAGAGTGATCTGGAAAGGTGAGCTGTCGGCCACCAGGTTTGCCATGACATTATCGGGGATACTGTTCCTGATGGCTTGTACTCCATCTTTGTGTGGAATGTTGGTGTAGAGGGCTTCTACCCTGCTGAAGTGAAGAAACAGATTGACAGAGCCAGAAGCGTACCCAGAAGTTACCTACTACAGGACAAGCCCAACAAAGAAAATAACAGAATGCCACTAGCCATCACATTCAGCCCCCAACTAAAACCTCTCATCATCAAGGATCTACAACCTATCCTGAAGGATGACCCATCACTCTCACAGATCTTGGGAGACAGGCCAGTCCTCACTTACAGACAGCCCGCCAACCTCAAGCAAATACTCACCAGCAACAAAAACACTAACCCAGGAACCTATCCTTGCAACAAAGCCCATTGCCAACTGTGTCCACATATCTATTCAGGGAACACCATCATAGGGCCTACTCGTATCAGCCATACTATCAGAGGCTTGTTCACCTGCACATCTACCAATGTGATATATGCCATCACGTACCAGCAATGCCCCTCTGCCATGTACATTGGCCAAACTGGACAATCTCTACGTAAGAGAATATATGGACACAAATCAGACATCAAGAATTATAACATTCAAAAACCAGTCGGAGAACACTTCAGTCTCTTTGGTCACTCGATTACAGACCTAAAAGTGGCAATTCTTCAACAAAAAAACTTCAAAAACAGACTCCAACGAGAGACTGCTGAATTGGAATTAATTTGCAAACCGGATACAATTAACTTAGGCTTGAATAAAGACTGGGAGTGGATGTGTCATTACACAAAGTAAAACTATTTCCCCTTGTTTATTTCCCCTCCAACTGTTCTTGTCAATTGCTGGAAATGGCCCACCTTGATTATTACTACAAAAGGTTCCCCCCCGCCTCTCCTCCCCCCGCTCTCCTGCTGGTAATAATTCCTGATCACTCTTGTTACAGTCTGTATGGTAACACCCATTGTTTCATGTTCTCTGTGTATATAAAATCTCCCCACTATATTTTCCACTGTATGCATCCGATGAAGTGAGCTGTAGCTCACGAAAGCTTATGCTCTAATAAATTTGTTCATCTCTAAGGTGCCACAAGTACTCCTTTTCTTTTTATGGATACAGACTAACACGGCTGCTAGTCTGAAACCTTAGATTGTGTAGTTTGTCAACTCTCAACCTTCCACTTTAACTCCATATAGTTTAACTAGAACTAACATTCTCTAAAACAATCTGTTGTATAAATCAGATGTAGTTAATAACTAGTGACTTCAGTCAAAAACATGAGGAGGAAAAACTGTATAACTTTCATGGAAAGTTAAAAGACTGCAGAAATAGACTTACAATTTATGGTGGTCTAGCACAGAATAAAAAATAATAGTAC